GTGAATAATATATATATATATTCCTGCACAAATAATAACTTCATACTTTTTGAAGAATTTTCCTCTATAATTTAAATGTAATGAGAATAATCTTTTTAATATTTTAGGGGAGGTGTCTTGACTCCTGGTGTTGCATTTGCAAATACTTCTCTCCGACAAAGATTAGAAAAACGGGGAGTAACTTTTACGTTCGAAAATACCAACGAAACTTTAACTGTATGAAAGCTATTGTAAAAATGTGTTTTGTCAATTAATTAAATAAAAACTGTTTTTGTACACGCTTAATGGAGACTTAATATGTCATTATTTTACATAGTATGTTACTTTAAAAAGTACAGTAATCCACAAAAAAAACTATCATCTTGTAAAACTTTTGTTCTGATGATCGGATTTTCTAATGCAAACGATATTTTACGTTAAGAAATATGACGTAAAAACTTACTTTCTCTGAATAAACATAACTTTTTTGATGGATTTGGATTCTTGACAATTAAAATATCAGGATGTAGCCGTAATCTGGAAAATATGACTCTATTATTTTAGACAGAACCAGAAATGCCCACTGACAAAATACTTAAGGAACAGTACAGAACTATAAACAAAAATTGGCAGATTTTCGTTACTTTTGCCAACTTTTCAAAAGGCTCATTGCAGCTTAACTGTAACAAACTGGCATATCACACAAGCCTTTGAATTATTTAAAAGTAGTGATGAGTCAAAATTATCTAAATCAAATTTACTAATCCAAGAATCATACACTGAAAGACTACCACTCGAAAATATTTATCCGCTCTCCGGAGCAATGGCACTTCTGCAAGACTAGCGAAGTGCCAATCGTTCGTACGGAGTCTGGAGAAAAAAAAAGGAAAAGCGCAATAATTTAAAACTCAACAACACTCCGAAATCAAGCACAAAACTGTAGTTTTAAAGAAAAAAATCCTTCTTTTTTTTCATTTTTTATCAAACCCGCTCGCTTTACGTTGCCTTTCCAATTTTTTTTTCTTTTCTAAATTTCTTTCGAACTAATAGCCTTTTTCATCTGCTAATTGTCAAAATTTACCGCAATCATAACTTTTTCCTATGAATTGGCTTTTTGAAAACTATTTCAATTTTATTTGAATGATTCTTGCTGATTTTAAAATTCGCCTAATTCCCGACGTGTTTCATGTTCTTTACGGTAGGGAACAGTATTTGTAGTCGTTATCTCAACTTCCGGTAGATGATTCAGGTAAAATAATTTCTGCTGGTGTAAACTAAATTGCGCAAATCCGCATCTCAACGATCAGGTAATTGCTTATCCATATAGGATAATTTCCCGAAGTACTTTTTTTCTTCAAATCATTCATCTGATATTTTAAAATATGAAAGACACATTTTTTTCGCAAAACCACGACACAAAAATTAAATTCAGAACAACTGAGTAACCGAATGTATACAAACAAATCCGGAACGTATTAAAAGAAATAGTCACGTCAATGCCATGACGTCAGAAGAGGACCTCAAGACTTCCGGTAAGATTTTTTTAGGATAGATGGTAAATAATTAAGCTTTTATAAAAACGTTTAAAAAGTATAAAGTATTAACAAAATGAAAGCGTGATTTCATAGATACTTCAAAATCCTAATTAGATACCTGCAAGTGACGTTAACGTGCGTATCGATCTTGATTGGCTGTTGAAACGTGGCATTTGTTTATGTTAGAGAGCGACTATTCCATTTCGAATAATCCAATCTTACAACAGGAGAAAAATTTAAGATTAAAATTCAAAAGCTAAAGCGAGACTAAAATTACAAAGATTATTAAAAGTCAATTCTAGGTTCAACGTAAAAAGTTCTAAAAGTTGAGAGTACAAAAGAGGAAAATTAGAGGTTAAAATGGAAAGAATCTAAGTCACACAGATGATTAAGAGACTATCAATAATCACTAAAGGTATATAAATAGGGTTCATTTAATCGGGCTAGATCTTCTAAGGTATAGTTGATAATTTCGTTAATATTATGCCCACAAGCTAAAGAACAGAGCCACTGATGTTGGTCATTTTTATTGTCGAAATGATTACTACGAAGTGTCTGTAACTTAAAGAAATATGCCTGCTGTTGTTCACTATCCAGTTGAGTTCAGCAGATTTTTAGAAAAGAGAGATGAGGAATTCTGCTGATTTCGAAAAAAACTACAAGCGCAACAAGGTGAAAGACGCTCTAATAAGTGTTAAAAATGCAGGGTATTTCATAATCACCATCCGTAATATATTTAATTAGGATCCTTGTCAAAAACTATTCACATCAGGGGCAACTGCATATGTTTTACTACAGCATCTTGAAATATTGCAACTTCAGTTGATTCAATGAACTGTTTTGAATCGACTGCAATTCAAAAACAACTTATTCAATGTATTGTTTTAAATTAACGGCAGAATGAGATTATTTTGAAGATCCAGAAAAGGTTTGATTTCTGACGATTCTGTAAAAATAAATATTGCCTACAACAGTCATTCTTAACAGATGTACCATACACTTTGCTTTTTTTTCTATCCTTTAAGAAAAATTTGACTGAAATGTGAAACTTACACGCAATGTGAAATAATTAATTTCTCAAATTCAGAACAAGAATTCAATAACTTCTGAACAAAAATTAATTTAACGAGAATTCTAAGAAAATTGATTTAATGCATTTCTTTGAATCACCTGCAGAAAGAGCTTATTTGTAAAGCTAAGCGAAAGATTCAACTAGGTGACGATTCTGAAAAAATAAATATTGCCGACATAAATCATTCTTAACAAATTGTACCATACACTTAGCTTTTTTTTTCTATTCTTTGAAGAAAATTTTAAAATTACAAGGAACATGGATTCATAAATTAATATCGTATATTCGAAACGAGAATCCAATAAACTTTGGACACAAAAATTTATTTTACTAATTTATTTTTTTCATCCTTTTACATTTAAGTTAAAAAAATAAAAAGATGAAGAACTCAGAAAAAGTAATCGAATATCCAGGTTATTATTATCCAGAAATATCCCGGTTCCAGGTTATATCCAGGTCTTTTTTATTATTATTATTTATTTATTCAATGAAAACGTGGATAAAATTTTAAAGTCGCAACACACGGACTAGATATTATTTTCGCAAATTTTCACCACGTTTCCTTAAGAATGATTCACTTTGTATAGCTAAATGCAGGTATAGTGTTAGTTTGGCTGCGGAGAACTTTTCCCTGCATTAATTAGGGATATGATTAGTTTTGGTTATTAAGTACAAATTGGTTTCACAGCCCCCTTTTACTGGTGGATTCTATAAGATGCGGTTAACAGACTAACCTGAAGTTAACAAGACTACCTTGAGGGCGAAAGGACGGGGAGATATAAAAATTAACAGACTTATGTCCTCTTAGAATATAAAAAGTATTATTTTTCTATTTGTTTTCAAGGTAATTTTTAGAGGTATGATATTTCTTCGCAAATGACAACAGGACAGAAAGTTACTTAAGGGAAACCTTAGATATGAAAAAATAAATAAACAGGCTTCCATGTCGAAATTTCTAAAATATTTCATTCCAAAGTATAGAATTTAAGCCATATATCTATCTTCAAGTTTTGTGGATATTTTTTATTTTATAGACTATTATTTTTTTAACTTTCAAAATATTTGGAATGACATGAAGTTAAAAATAAAATAATTTCATAAAAAAATAAAATCATCGATTATAGAGACCACAATTTTTTAAAATGATTAGAAATTTTTGAACTGTAATAGACAACTTTTAATTTTATTTTTTTTTAATTTTTTTTTCATTTATTGTTTTTAAAATCGGATATAACTTTTTAACAAAAGCATAGACTTTCGCCTCAATCTTGTTCAACATTTAAAAAAACACCGCATTCTGTTTTTGAATATAGTCTTCCGGTATCAAAGATGAAACAGAGATTTTCTTAGGCGCTTTAACTGACAATAACTGATTAACTGTGATTATCCATTTAACTGTGTAAAGTAAACTGAAAGTTGGTTAACTGTATGAACAATTATATACAAGCCACTAAAACTGGAATGAAATCTTGAAAATTTTCTGTGCATCTTTACTAGAAGATTTGTTAATGGGCTTAATATTCTAAAAAGTTTTATTATTTAAATCAATATTTAAAATTATGCCTAATTTTACCATTTTTAAAACTCTTCTGTATTTTATAAAATTTAAAAAGTCATGAAGCATAAGGCGATTTAAGGAAGTAATAGCATATCGCAAAAAAAGTGTAACGTTCGCCATGTTTTGAGTCTTATCCAGTGCCGGATAACCCATTAAGCCAGACATGGCCTGGTGCCCCCAATGATTAGGGGCCCCCTTAAAATGGATTTCTTTGAAAATAAATTTTAAAAATTAAGAAAAACAATTATTTAAAAAAAAATCAATTTCAAATATATATGTTATGATTATTTTTTAGTTCTAATTTAATAAAATGAAGTAAAATTTAATTTATTTTTATTTATTTTAATTTTAAATATGCTTTCTTAAATGAAAAGTTATATGAATACTTTTATATTTGAATAAATAAAAAATGTACGAGAAAAAAAAATTTAATCGAAGGGCCCCAAAAAATTTTAATGGTGGACTGATCGTAAGACACTGTTCCCAGTAGTATCGATTTAAACTGTAGTATCGTAAAGTACTCGACTTTGTGTAGTTGCCGGACTACCAAAGCAGAAGAGCCATCCCTTCCGCAGAGGATTAAAATTGTGATAATATGTTTTCGAATAAACCTCAGGGATATTTCCCAGACCGTCCCTATTATCCCATTTTGCAGCTTTAGTACGACATAAATAAAATACAATTAATACTACAATTTCGGAACACTAATTTGAAATGTCATTGCTATGGAGAGATTTCCGTATCGTGATCTACCCCGACGATGCGAAAACATTCTCAAAACAATCGCCGTTGTGCAGCGCTAGTGTTACGTAAATAAAATACCTACCAAAATTAATTGACGCATAAAGCGTAACTTTTCTTGCGAGTTCGATTAGCGTTGCTGAAAGTTGCTAATGAAAATAAGCCTTACAATTTCTCCCTATTCCGTGATTTCTTTGAAGTAAGCTTTAAGCTAACTTTCAAACAGGTGCAAAACAGAACTGCCTATCACCATGACATGCAAATTACCGAAAACAAAACAAACTGTGACTGTCAGAAGGGTTGCAGATTAAATTGTTACCTGACCGGTAACACTTACCTTGAAAAGAGTTTCCTTTCTGTGATTGCATACATTTCCTTCTTTGTTTCAAGTTGGTTCGAATTTAAATAAAGAAAAAAATGGCTAGAGAGTTTGATGTTATAATTTTTGGTGGAACTGGGTATACAGGCCGGTATGTTATTGAAGAACTGGCTCATTCTTCTAAATCAACTGATATTAAATGGGCTATTGCCGGCAGAAATAAAGAAAAATTGGAGGAATCCTTAGAGATTGTTCAGGAGTATCTTGGGAAAGGTATAAAAGTTTCAATTAGTCTGTCGAGCCATCTGAAAATACTCATCTAATAAAGTACTTATTAAATTAATGAGAAAAGAATATTGATGGAATTCGTATAAACTATCTTTTGTTCATATTTAAAGGAAAATTATTTGTACTTATTGTGGTAAAAATAACCAATGCTAGCATATAGCTGAGTGAAAATATTTGATTTAATTATTATTTTACCGATAACAGGTTAAATCAGTCTGTACAGATTTTTGCCAATCTAGGTATACTGTAATGTAGTTTAGAAAAAATGAGAATGAAAAGTAATGATCAAAAGCGAATAGTAAAATATGAAAGTATTTATTTTTATCTGTTTCTTAACACTGTAAATGAATATAGTTTTGACCATTATATAAGATATACCATTATTTTTCCAAAAGGCAGTAATGTTTAAGAAAATCTGAACCATTTACAATTTTAATTTTTTTTTATTATGATATTTTATTTTAGGTATAATTAATAGACTTAATTAAAATCTAAAATATTTACATATATTATCAGGATGTGTAACGTTTATAAAAATTGCTTTAAGTTGCTTATTTTTGATTTTCGTTTTTTTAAAAGCCCTTAAAGGTGCTTTTTTCATTGGGTGTTTTTAAAAAGTGCTTAATTTTCCCTTTTTCAAAATGAGCTTTTTCCTTTACAATGTTGATTTTCGCTTCGAATTATGCAAAAAGACACAGTTCACATTGTTCTATTCAATGTTTTCACAATTAATTCAACCCCAATCTATTTCGGCATATTGTCAGTCCGTAGTCTCTGAAAATGCCATTCGTTTTACGTGATTCAAAATTTCATGATTTTTAACAATAGTCAAAAACAATGCCAAATGGTTTGTTTTTTTCCTTTCTTTTTTTTTGGCATGATGGTTAAAACATTGTCAAAAACTTTCCAGCTCTGCCTAATTGTGATATTTTTTTAAAGTGCTTAAAAATATTTTAGTGCTTGAAAGTGCTTATGTTTGTTGAATAATTTGGTTACGCTCCCTGATTATTTAATGTAACTTTCTATTAGAAATGCTACTGGATACTACTAATCAAATAATACTAGGCTAATCCTCAGAACCTTGAAAGGTTGGCATGCTTAACTACAAAAACATGAAACCTGCTGCTTTACAATAATATAATTTATGTATAAAAGTTATAATTTATGTATAAAAGATTTTACTTTCTTATAACTGTTTAAAAATACAATGATTGGTAGAAAAAAATATTAACAAGTGATTATTATAAACTAGAGTTCATTGTATTAGATTTAAATTTACTTTTTTTTTAAAAAAAGGCTCTAGAGTAAAGTAAAAATAATTGAAATATATGTTTGAAGTGAATAGGTATTATATTAAAATATTTTGTTTCCTTTATTAATTTCTTTAAAAGCAAAATAATAATAATTTGGTTATTTGCTCTGTAAAGTTTAAAAATATATTGTAATAGAGAAACTAGCAAAAGCATTGTTTATTCATAATCACTTCAGAAAAAAAGAGAAAATTATTTGTCCTATTTTTGCCTACTTGAATATGTATAAAGAATTCCATTCTATTTAAATATAAGTATGGGTTGATGTATATATTTTTTAAGTATAAACATGGTGCTTAGCATTTTTAAAAAGTGTTTAAAGGTGCTTATTTTTGATTTTCATTTTTTAAAAGCCCTTAAATGTGCTTTTTTCATTGGATGTTTTTAAAAGGTGCTTATTTTTCTCTTTTCAAAAATGAGATTTTTATTTCTTTACCATGTTGATTTTTGCCACGTATTATACAAAAGTGTGCTTTTTCACATTGTTCTGTTCAACGTTTTCACAATTCATTCAACCACAATCTATTTCGGCATACCGTCGGTCCATAGCGTAGGAAAGCGCTAATAATTTTACATGTTTAATGAAATACTTTCGAGTCTGCATGTGCGTCTACTGAACTGGGTTCGGTGAGATTATTGCACTGTCATGTGCAACTCTGCTGCATTTTGCAAGATATTCTCAATTTCTGGCTTCATTTTCCACCCGCTGAAATCGAACTGAAAAATCTCTTGATCATTTTATAATGGTTAATATAATCAGGAAAAAGAGTTCTTTATGAGAAACCAGTTANGCAACTCTGCTGCATTTTGCAAGATATTCTAAATTTCTGGCTTCAGTTTCCACCCGCTGAAATCGAACTGAAAAATCTCTTGATCATTTTATAATGGTTAATATAATCAGGAAAAAGAGTTCTTTATGAGAAACCAGTTATTTTTATCATGTTTATGTAAAGTCTTGGAAAATTATTTTGCATTTTGTTAATGTATATAGAGCTTAAAAATATTTTTGAGTGCTTTAAAAGTACTTAAAAGGTGCTTATTTTTTGTTGTGAGATTTGGCTACACACCCTGATAAAAAGTATTAAGTAAGTAATGATTATGTATATCGAAATTTATATTTGGTTTTAATTTTCTTTGAAAGAAATTTATAATTTTTAAACATTTCTGAAAGTGGAAATGAGTTAATCATTTTTTCTGTTTTTCAGAGATAGATATAAGCAAAACTCCAATTATTGAAGCTGATGTTAAAAGTGAATCATCTCTTTCAAATATGTGCAAAAGGGCTAAGTTGATACTTAACTGTGTTGGACCAGTGAGTAATATTTCTTAACCATTTTGCTTATGCAGTATAATGTATCAAATATACCAAAAAATCATAAAAGAGAAGTGAAAAATAAAGTTATGAAACATCTCATAGGACGTGTATATCTCCGGTGCTAAAAGAAAAAAATAGCTTGCCAGCAGATTTATGTGGGCAAAATTATAACAAACTTAAAAGGTTTCTTTTTATTTATCAATAACTAAAGGGAAAAGTTAAGATAATTCTGAGTATGAAATTATATCATTGATTTTTCTTTATGCAGGTATCAGTCTTAATTAAAAGCTTGGAATGTTTCTATAAAACTCTCGTATTAAAATTCTTTGTTTTGCATAACAGTAGATAGAATAATTATGAATGTGCTTGCATATTAATAGATAGATGAAGAAGTAGAAAATTTATATTTAAATGGCGATCCTCTTTTTGTAATAAGAGACACAGAAATTTTGAAGTTCAGAGTCTTACAGGACCGCTGTTCCCTAAATCTGATGGAATCACTGTTTCTACTTTTCTTGAAAAAGAAATTCAGCATATTATCAAACAGATTTTCTTTGATATATCTCAATCAACTAATTTTTCAATTGTTTATATATATTTTTTTTTAAATGCCTATTAGTGTATCATCAAAAGGTTTGTTATACAAAAATATTTTTTTCTTGAAAATATTTTTATTTGTGAATGTTAGATATTTTATTATTTCTAAATTTCTTTTCAGTACAAATTGTTTGGCGAGCCAGTTATCAAAGCTTGCGTAGAAAATGGAACTCATCACATTGATCTTAGCGGAGAACTAAAGGTTAAATCTTATTCATTGGATAATTGTTTTCCAATATCTTTTGTCAATCCCATCTTAGTCATTTGCTAAATTTTTAATGTTTGAAATTAAAAGATCCAGGAAATTCAGAATAAAATGCTTAAATTTTATTTTTTTTATTAGTATCTCTTGTAATTCAATCAAGTAAATGTAAATTATTTGTAGTTCTTTTTGATTAAAAGTATAGTTTCTTTTAAATAATAATATTTAATTTAATTAATTTTCTTTTGTTTTTTTAATTCTTGGCACTTGTTCATGAAAAACTTGAAGTTAAGAGGAAAATATCCAATAAATATCACTTAAGATTTTATTTTTATTTATTTTTAAATATCAAAATATCACTACTCTTATTATGTTTTAAAATTGTAACAAAAATTTATAAAAAGTTATTCTTTCATAAATTAAGATGCTTCTTGGCATGATGTAGTCAAAGTATGGTTTGACTTTTAGGTTTGTTATCTTTTTTTTTTCATCTTTAATTTCATTACTAAGCTTTAGATGGACTTAAATGAAAAACTTTCAACAAACAAAAATTTCAATTTAAAGGCTTTCTGTAAGCAATTTATTAATTTTTGTAGTTTCAATCCTATCGTTACCACCTGATTTTGATAAAAGTTGTTCAAAAATCGCTGATTTATGTAATGCTAATTTTTTCAAAATTTTAAATTTATTACTTACTAACATGTATATAAATTTAACTATAACAGTTTTTTGATAGATATTAAACTATTTATTGACTTGCCTTGTTTTATCCTATACTTAGCTATATTTTTTATAATGCACTGAAAAAATTTCCATAGTAGTGATTAATTTTCCACAAATAGTGTTTGCACGTTCGTGTATATTGTGCATATCTAGCTTTAGGTCACTGTTCACTGGTTGGATAATTAACTTTTATAGTGAAAACAAATTATTCATGTTTATTTTAATAATTTATTTTCAAATCATGATTTATAACTGAAGTTGTTATAACTATTTTAATCATAAATTTGAAATTTTCATTGATAATATTGAAATACTAATTAATAATTATATTCTACTAATATAATACCTACTAATAAATAATTATTATTTTTATAGTATTTAGAAGGAACGCAAATTAAGTATTTTGATGCAGCACGTGAGAAAAAGATTTATATTGTTGGGGCTTGTGGCTTTGACAGCATCCCTGGCGATTGTGGAATGACCATCTTAAAAAATCATTTTCCTGGTAAGTTACTAAAAAATTGTCATTTTCTTGATTGGTTAATAAAAATTAAAATTTTCTTTAAAAATATTTAAATGTGTATAAACATAGATCTTGATTTATTGCTGCTACTAACAGTAAAATATCCTCAAGTGTAGTTTTTCACCTGTTTTGAAAAAAAAAAGGTTCATAATTTGTCTAGAATTATTGCAAAACTTCAAAACTTGTTATTTCTAAAACCTAATTATTTTCCATTTTATTTAATATATCTTGAAATTATTATTTTTAAAATATATAGAGAATAATTGATTTATCATTTTAGGGAATCTGAAATATTTTGTTTTTTTATTTATTTTTCTTTAAAAAAAATTAAAAAGTTTATTAAAATAATTTCTTTTAATTCATTATTTACATTTCTAAAAGCAGTTTATTAAATAGTTCTGACATTTAAATTTTCTAAAAGAAATTATTGATTGTTTCTATTGAAGTTTTAATGTGTTACTTAGTTTAAATTCATATGTACAATTTTTTTCTTCAAAGATTTAATATTTGCATTTCTTAAAAGTTCTTTGTTGTGTTAAATATTTTGTCATTAATAGTATTTTTCAAATTTAATGTAATGTTTTGTATTTTTTTATTCATTTATTTATTTTATGTATTTATTTATATATTTTTTGTTAATATTTCAGGTGATTTGAATTCTGTTGAGTATTTTGTCACCATCGGAATCGGACCGGAGGTAAATAAAATATGTTAAAGTTATATTCAATATGCTTTAATTTTGTACTTCCAGAACAAATAAATTGTTGTTTAGAAAATTTATTGTAAAATCAAAATTTTTTAAGTTTATTTATGCTGATATTTCCATTTAAAATCAAGTTTTTATGATACTTTTTTAATAATTCTCAAATTTCTTTGATGGTAAAGTTAATAAAAACAAAATTTTAAAATGATTAAAATCAATACTGATTACAATGCTTTTGTGCTTGCAAACTTTTGTCCCTTAAACTGTAAATCAATAATCCTTTTGCAGATAGTTGAAGGTTCTCTATCTATGATCCATTTTCTTTAATATTTTTAAAAATTTCAGAATTAAAAACTGTTAATGTTTAATTTGGAAAGAAATATATTTTTATAAATACTGTTTATAACTACTGACTTTTTTTTTCATGGTTTAAAAATTGTGTATTTTTAATTCTCTGGTTTAGCTGCAGAATTTGAAACAGACAAAATTTTAAAAAAAAAACACTCAAAAATACTTTTTTTAAGAAATAATTCTGTTTCTTCTCTATTCTTATGTTTAAATTTTGTAATTAAATGAAGTTTAAAATATTCTAACATCTAAATAACATTGTAGTTTGATTTAGATCAGTTGCTTATGACCCTACGGCGGTGCCCTGGCCCTGTAATCTCACCTTTACTTGGTGATGCAAAAAAAAAAGAACTTTTACTTCAACTTGCAGGAGTCACATAAAACCAGTTTTTCTACAAGCAACCGACGATATCCACATTTTAGCTCGTGGCACGGTCGGTGAAGCATGGCTGTACAATGATCCTAATTTCATTTTTAACTTTCTGTATTTATTTGTAATTAATTATGTTTAAATTAAATTTATTCTTCAAACTTTAATTGGTAATTTGCTTTAATGCTTATAAAAACTCAATTTACCAAAACCCTTTTTTATTTTGTTGCTATAGAAATTTGATTCTATGGGGCTTTAGACGAAATTATTTGTCATGCATTTTCATTTTGCATTGATTGAAACTAGTACTTATTTTGACTTTATTTTTCATTGTATTACAATTTTAAAATGAATTTTTTATATAATTTTACCAACTAATTGTAAAATATTGGTTGTTATATTTTTGTTGTGTTATCTAGGGTCGATCCACTAATATCGGAACCTTTATGTCAGCTATGAACTCTATGTGGGATAAGAAGTATGTAAAAGAATATGATGCTGCTCTTAAAGAAAGAGTATTTAAAGAGGATTTGCCAAAACCTAAATATCCATTAGGCTGGAGGTACAAAATTTTTTAGTTTAAATTCATAATTTATGCACCAAGTATCACCATAGTAAAGATTTTTTGATATTTTTTATTATTTTCTAAATAATTTAAAGTTTTTCTGATTTTCATCGTCATCAAAGTTGGCCAGACAGCCCAATGTGCGCCTCTGATGATTTCTCCATTACGACTTCCGATTTATCTTTGATCTCCAATTCTTTTCATTAATTGCAAGAAAATCAGACTCCTCTGAGTCAGCCCATCTCAACCACTGCCTTCCCTGCTTTCTTTTTCCAGTGGGGTCTAAAAAGCAATATCTTTTTTACTGTATTGTCATCACTCATTTGAATCACATGGACCATTCAATTCATTTTATTTATTTTTATATATTTAATAATAGCAGATTGTTTATAAATCTTGTAGAGTTCAAAGTTAAATCTCCTTCTCCAGTTTTTGTGTTTTCATTTACACCACCAAGTATATTCTGCAAAATCTTTCTCTCAAATATTGTGTTACAATTTTCCTCCAGTTTTGTCACTGTCAAAGATTCAGAAGCGTATGTCAAGACTGGCCTAACAAGAGTTACTGTTATCAATGTGATTTGCACATTTTTAAGTTTTCAAGTATTTTACCTATTTTTTTTTATCAAAATTTATAATCATATTTCCATTTTTTTCTCTTTTGTAAAAATCATCCAGATTGAATTTAAAAAATAATTTTATCCTATGCACATTTAATTTTTCAAAAATGGAATTTACATTTGTAAAAGCTGTTTGAATTAATATGTTAAAAAAAGAAAGAAAAAAAAAACTTTAATTTATTTGAAAGTAAATTTCTATCATTCAAAGCATGTTACATCTACTTATGCAAAAATATCTTAAACATATAAATATTTTATTAATTATGAAAGTTAGAGCTTAAACTAAACTCTTTTATCATGATTCGATTGTTACTTATCTAATCAATTTGGTTAATTGAACTTTGTAAAATATTTTAACAGCTATCTTTATAGGAAATCTTTAATTTTAGATGTAAAACAATAAATTTAATAATAATTCATTTAATTGTGAAGTAAATCAAAGTAATTTTTCTAATGAATATATTAAGATTAATTACTCAGCTTTTGTAACAAATTTTTTTTCCCGTTAGATGGACACTTTCATTTAAAAAACAAAATTTATTTATATTTTTGCTATTTTTGATTAGACAAAATTATCTCTTATCTATTAATCTCTTATGAATTTCAAGACTTAATTGAATTTCTTCAAGTCTCAGAATTTTGTAATTTAATTATGTGCTCTACCGTTAGGTTTTAGAGGACAGTTAAAATTACTTAACCTTTGACTTATTTATTTATTACCATGTTTGATATTGCGAATTTAAGGATGCTATTTGTGTTAGGATTTTGGGTTCAGTTACTTTCTGTTAATATTTAACCGCCCTCCTTGTAACAGAGAAATCAACTTCATTTTTTTAAATTTTGAAGGAATATTTATTGCTAACTTCTTTATATTGAATTTTAATTTACGTGTTTTTGTTTTCAGACAACCACCAGTTTCTTATAGTTCTGAAGAGAAGGCCTGGGGTCTTTGGTTTGTAGGACCAGATCAGAGAGTTATTCATAGAAGTCAATTATTTCGCCACAACTACTTAAAAGAAAGACCTGTAAGTTATTCTATCATTGACTTATTTTTCAAAGAAAATGGAATAACTTATAAAATCAAGATATTATCTATTATAAACAATTTAATACTAGAGAATGTACACTGTTTTGCTTTGATATAATTTAACAGCTAACTCTTCAACGTTCTCCACGTCTTTATTCACATGCATATGATTTTTCACATGTATTTCAATTTATCTTTTTAAAAAAATATCTCAAAATGGATACAATTTTTCTGAATACATTTTTATTGAAATAGTATTTTTGCTAATGACTATTATGCACTAGTTTCTGTAAATAAGAGAATTTTCAAATTTGATTGATTATTTCAAAACTACTGGACAAATTTCAATAAAATTTTATTTTAATGTAGGATAATATGATATCAATGAAATAACTAATATATAGCTGTTGTATGCACTTGTAATCACTCATAACACTTAAAGTAAAAAGGTATGAAATATTGGTTGCAGAATTTAATGAGAAATAAGGTTAAATATATAGTTATTATACGCATGCATAACACTCATCAGAGACAGAAGATATAATTAGTTGTTGCAGGTTAGGGTCAATAAGGCGTGAAGTCTCCTTCTACATGTATATGAGCTTTACATTCTATTTTCATATCGTGAAATCAAAATGTTCTCGTAGTTTTGTACATCTTTAAATTTAAAAGAGGTTCACATTAAGATTTTAGTTTAACAGAAATTTGGTATAAATATTAAATTAAACTTCATAATGCATTTGAGGCATTTAGAATAAGTCACATAGCTGCCAATTATCCTCAATTTGCAGTTATTTTCTGCATTTTTACTTATTTTAACTATTTTTTACGTGCAGAAGACAAGATTTTCTGCATTTTTATCTGCCCACTTGATAGGTCTTATTTTCTTTAATTCAGATATTGCTACTTCTCTGCAGCGGCCTTGGTGTGCCCACTTGCTGTGGTCCTCCCTTTAAGGTGTAACGCAATGGATTTCTCCTCATTTATCAATGAGGGAAGGAATTCAGTTTGTTCTGCAAGAGCGCTCCCAATTATTACGTGACTTATTATTTGCCAGCACGAAAGTGAATCTTGAAATAAAATGGCGTGTGCCAAAAAAGAAATAACAAAGGATTTTGCAGTAAAAATATTTATTTACTCTTTCGATTAATCTTGTTAAATTTTATTTATTATGACTGAATGAAAACAATACAAAGAAACGTTTTTAGAATCCAAAACCCAGAATCTGTTAATATCGTCATTCATATTCACCCGATTTTAATGTCAAATATAGATTTGTGTATTTATCTGATTTAAAAGCTAGACGTTGCGATTCTTATTTCCGCAACTTAAAAATCGTTCATCGCGATTCTTATTTACAAAATTTTGAAATCCAATATAGCGATTTCTATGTACTCGTTTTTAAAATCCTATATCGTAATTTGTATTTACATTGTAGTAATATCAAACATAAATTTTTGTATTTATACTTTATTTAAAAATTACGCATTAGGATTCGTTTCACACTATTGAAAATTTATGCATTGTGATTCATATTTATGTGATTTAAAAATTCAATATTACAATTCATATTTATGCGATTTAAAAATTCAATATTGCAATTCATATTTATGCGATTTAAAAATTCAATATTGCAATTCATATTTATGCGATTTAAAAATTCAATATTGCAATTCATATTTATGAGATTTTAAAATCCAAGATTGCGATTTTAAAATCTAAAAATGCAATTCTTGTGAGAAGTAATTTCTTTCTTTTTTTTTAATCAGTTACTATAAAGGTCTGATATTCTTCACTAGTAAGTGATTTAATTATATATGCTAGCTCAAAAAATTATGTTAAATATGAAGCATGATTGGTATATAAATTAAAATCTTGATACCGATTTTTTGTGCATAAAATTTTCAGGATTTTCCACTTTGTTGCACTATCACCCCTGCATTATATTATAGTGAATTTATAAAATAATAAGTAATTTTAATCTGCTTTTTTTATGCATTTATTAGCATGCAGTGGCATGCTAATAAATGCATAAAATGCTATCTAATAATTAATAAAGCATAATATGCTATCTAATAACTGCATTTTTATGCATTTCTTCTGCATTTTTATAATTAGGGGTTGGCAGCTATGAAGTTATTAGCATTCGGGAGATAAATGAATAAATTATTAATACTAAAATATTTTATTATTTGATTTTGAATTTCTTAATAGTTCATTTTGTTATTCCTGCATTTGCTGTGCCTTAAGTATCAATGCTATTTAAAATTCATATATGTCTTTTATTCTTTTAGAACTAAATTTTAATATCCTCCAGATATACTTCAATTTTCTAATGTTTAATATATTAATAATGTAAAAAAAAATCTTATTTTATTGTATTTGTTGTTGATATTTTGATTTATTGACTAAATTTTATTTTTCTGGATAATTTAAATATACTTTATTTTTATTTCCATTCTTTATATTTCAGATATTGTCTCATGGTTACATTAAGTGCAATTCATTCTTTACTGCTTTCGCACTGGTAATGTTTGCTGTATATTTTGCATTCATGTCATTCTTTTCATTCACTCGATCCCTCTTAGCCAAGGTTTGTTTTTATTGCCTTATATCCATCAACTTTAATTTACTAAAAAGTAATTGCAATATTCAATTTTCTTAGTTAGCATTTATCTACTGCAAATGTTTACACTATAAATAAGATTTCAATCCTTTAACTGTCAGACTACTTGAACAATTCTGTTTAAGTATTACTTTGTTAACTATTGTACCTCCATTAAATAACATAATGGAAAACTGATTTGATGTGCCAAGAATTAACTAAATTCTACCCATTAGTTAAATCAGTCATCCATAGGTAAAATCATTGCCAATTAAGAGTTGTTTATATTATTAAGTGCTAATGTTTCATTGTTACATTTTATTATCTTATGATATTAAGAAACCATGGAAGAAGTTTTTTAAATAAATATTCAAATATTGGCACTATTTAATAGTTATAATTATACAAGTAAGTTAGTTAATGCACAAAATTGGTATTTACGCACATAATTTTATTTTTAATTTACTTAAATCTACAGCACATTATTTGGCGTGATAAAATTGTTATCGAATACTGTCTTTTTAAAAATATTATTTTTTAATGTCAGGGTTTGTAGTATTTTTAAAAATTGCTTTATTTTTGTTTTTAAAAAGGCTTTAAAAATGTTTTTTTTTTTTCATTGGATTTTTCCCCTTACTAAAATGAGATTTTTTTTGTTAAGTCTATCATTGCTATAAATTAAGCAAAAAGCATGGTTTTTCACAATTCATTGAACAACAATTCATTTTTGCATTATTTCGATCATATTGTATGAAAGCACCAATCATTTTACATGATGGATGATTTACTTAAAATTCCAAAAGCATATACACTAAGCAGAGGCGGATCTACTTAAGGGCTTTATGGGCTGCAGCCCAGGGCCCCGTGGAAACAAAGGGCCCCAGTCCCCACTGAAAACAATAGGTGATATTTTGAATTAAAAAAATATCTAATATTAAAAAAAAAAAAATTATAAGGTTGGCAACCCTGAGATCAATCAACCCATGCATGTGCGCGCCTATCGAACGGAAAGGGGAATTACCTGTCGCTTGTTTTTGGCCAGTGTATTTTTTCGCGTCTATTAAGGGGGACTTCCGCAGCGCCGCTTAACGCCCGATGTAATTTTGATTTTTTTCCTGCACTTCTGTTCTCGTCGTCAATGTGACAAACTTGTTTAGTTTACTAATAACTGTCTTGACTACCAGAAACCCTCTGATTCCACCGAAAACTATATTGGTGTTCAGCAAGAGGACGGTAATACCGAGGCGGAAAGAAATTTAGAGAATATTAAGTTTGAGTTTGAGAAATATGTTGACGTGGGGTTGTGGCCAGAATTGTTAATAATGATTTTATTAATGGCATACTCTCACATGAAATGACTTACTTTTAAAATAAAGATCGGAAAAATATATACTCAGCTTCAATAAGGAAATACAAAGAACAAAACAGAACATTTTCAAATAGGTATTTCATTAAGAAAATGAAAAATGGTCAATCACTGGAAAGATTTTGGTTATGTTATTCAACCAGGGTTGGTACTGTTTTTTGTTTGACTTGCAAACTTTTTTCTAAAATCCCTTCTCAATACACAACTGGATTTTCTGATTGGAAACACATAGAAACTTGTTCAGAAAATTCTAATGAACATAAGAAATCAATGTTAGTGTGGTTGACACGTGAAGGCAACAAGTTAATTGTATCATTAAAAGACTTCATGAACAACATAAGTCACCAGTCAGATCAGAATCTAAAGGAATATGAAGAGAAAGCTAAAAAATTAAGTACTAGTGTGGGAATAGATTGCAATGACATAAACAAGAGACCCATTACTCCAAAACTTTCAGATAAGTCCTCAGTATACGGCGCAGAGAAATTTAAAAGAGACACGCTAAACGTTGCATTGGATAAGCTGATTACGGATTTAAACAGAAGGAGCCAAGTCTATGAGATGTATAGCAAGAAATTCAAATTTTTAATGGATTTGCAAGATAAAAATATGGAAAACATAGATCTGGAAAGTGTACGTAATATTGTTGATTGTTATCCAGATGACGTAGACCAGCATTTAGTGAATGAGGACATTCAGTTAAAATCTTATTTACTTCAGTCTAAGCCAGAGTCTTACACCTGTTGCAGTGAAATTTTTATACTAATATATGAAAAGAAATTTGTTGATGTTTTCCCAAATTGCTACACTATCTTAAGGATTTTTTTTTACTTTTCCAATCACTAGCTGTGAAGCTGAGCGCTCTTTCACCAGGATGTCATATATAGAAAACAAATATAGGACAACAATGTCTAACCATCGACTAAATCATTTAACAGTTCTTTCCATAAATTGTGATTTAACACAGGACTTACAGCGTGATGAGCAAATAAAGAAATTTGTAGCATATATATGCAGAAAGGTTGCTTTATAATTCATATAGCAAAACTACACATAACCTGTCAATTTCTTTTGCAATAATGTTGTACAGTTGCTGTTTGTATAGACAAATAAAAATAAAAAAATAAACAAAATTATTTTATTGTCCTATTTTTTCTATACGCTTATCTACATCACTATAGAAAACAGTTTTTTGACAAAATAGCTATTAGGGCCCCAAAGTAGTTTCAGCCCAGGGCCCCACAAATTCACAATCCACCCATGACACTAAGCTTGATGCATTGAGAAGGATTCGCACACTTGCAAGACTGCTGCATTTTGCAAGACATTTCAGCTTCATGTCTTACCGTCTGAAATTGAACCAAAGATATCTCTGAAGTTTCCCTCATCATGGAAACCAAATAAACATTGCCAATTATTTTTCCTAATAATGGAAAGCTTTATGCATTGAGAAGGATTCGCGCACTTGCAAGACTGCTGCATTTTGCAGGACATTTCAGCTTCATCTCTTACCGTCTGAAATTGAATCAAAGATCTCTCGGAAGTTTCTCTCATCATGGAAACCAAATAAACATTACCAATTATTTTTCCTAATAGCAAAAGAAAATTTTATTTTACTTGTTTGTTAATTTATTAGCTTATAGCAATCACAGAGCTTTGTCACTTCAAAATTTTTGTTTCTATTTTATTCACTTGCTTATGCAAAGCTAAGAAGTAATTAAGATTTTTTTTATCATGAGAGTATGTGCCTGGGGAAAATCTACTAATTGCATAAATTATTTGAATCTTTTATTGTATTCTTATTTTGCTGAATTTGCTATGAAATTTTCAGTACTCTTCAGTTATTTTATGAAAAAACTCAATTATTTTTAAATGCAAGATTTCTTAAAAATATTATTAAAATGCATTGGTTGTTATTTTTTGTTGAAACGTTTGACTGTGCATGTTAAATTTAAATTTATTTGTTCTTCTGATTACATTTTTCATACTTCTTATATTTCTTTCATTTTTTTCTAGTTATTTCTTGTAATTCTATGACAGTACTTTGTAAGAAAAATAAAATATTATAGCAATATCTTAATTTACTTTAAAGTTTCATTTGTTTGTATTAAAGTCTGCATACATTTACAATAATAAACATAATCAAACAAATTATCAACTACACAGTATCTTATTAGATTTCAAAAAAATTACAAAGATTAATTTTATTGCAAATTTAATATTTTCCACTGAATTGCCAGGAAATATATTACATTGATATTTAAAATGCTAGACATTATGCATTTGTTGAAGAGCAATTCAAATTATACATTTTACTGTTGATCTGTTTTTAAGACTAATTCTGTATTATTATTATAGTACCCATCCTTTTTCACTGCTGGTGTATTTTCAAGTTCTGGACCAACTCGAACACAAGTAAGTCAAAATCTATTTTAGTTTTGTATTTTCTATCATAAGACTAATTTTTATTTAGCAAATGTTCCCATTTAGTTTCCAGTAATTATTATTTTGATCCTAATAGATTCTTATTTTTTTCATTAATCATACTAATGTAATCAAAATATTTGTAATTCTTAATGGCATCATTGAATGAAATTTGTGAAGCTCTAATGATAATTTGCTTTTTTTTTTCATAGTGATAATTTTAAAGAATTTTTAATGATTATAAGTGCTATTTTTAGTTGAGGTTACAAAGTTCTGGGCCTTGACTTTTCGCTCTCTAGGTAATCTTCGAGTACATGCAGTTTTTTTTTTTAATGTTTATTATTGTTTGTTTACTTTTTATTTAGTATTTGCTTTAGCATTGTAATTCCCTTAAAATATTCTTTTTAAATTAACAAAATAATGGAAATTATATTGTTTTTAAATACCTATTATTTACTTCTGTAGTATTCTAATATACTTTATTTTTGCTTGCGTAATAGTGTTACGTATTTAATGTCTTCAAATTCTGATAATGTGTGTTTTTTCTCTCACTTTATTGAAGTTTTACTATCGAATAAAGTAGTCTTCATTCGTTGACATTAAAAACATAGGTTTTATCTGCCTTTCAGTGCAATAAGACAACGGAAAAAATTAAATTATTTTTATTGCAGCACTTAGTTCATTCCAGTGTAATCTATTTCTACTGTGAACTCATTTAATATTTAATAAACATTAAATTCTTTAAAATCTTCTGTAAAAATTTCAAAAGCCGTTCTTGTAAAATTGAAGTAATTTTGTGTTGTGGCACTATTGGCCTGAGTTATTGATTTCATATTTGCATTGAATTAATTTGAGTCTTTCATTTGTTCCGAAATAAAACAGTGTACTTTCTTAGTATACAATCTGTTTTTATGTTATAAGCATTTTAATTTTTCATTCAGGTCATGCAAGGATCTACTACTGTAACATTTTATGGTGAAGGATGGAAGGAAAAACTGTCAGATCCTACTGACCAGCACACCACTAAACCTGACACCAGAATGAAACTCACCATGAAAGGGCCAGGTCGCTTTTATTTTCTTTTATTATTCATTTATTGTTAAAATTGTTATGCTTTTGCTGAAATTCTCCCTTATTAATTTGTTAGCATGGAAAAAAATTTATTCCTGATTAATGAGTTATTAAAATTAATAACACATTAATTTTAATTAACCAAGCATTTTGCTTCTAAAGTGTAGCTTGATATTGCTTTGTATCATTTGACCACTTTTGCTAAAAATGTGAGAAACTGATGATAGTTTTTCAAATGTGCTTAGGTTAGCAGGATACAGTTGTCTAACCACTCTTTGGAAAATATTTATTGCACGATTATTTTTATCTTGGTTAATTTTTTATTACAATTAATGAAACAATCTGGTGAATTAATCTGAAACTTGATAATTTATTTTATGTGTAAACTAAATTATAAAATTAATCTGGTATTATTTTGTATTTTCAAACAAGATTATTGTAGTATTCCCTCACAAGTTTTTAGTACCATCTGATGTTTGTTTGCTTTTTTTATATTTGGACATAATGAAAAAGTAGCTTTTTTAAACACGTCATTTATTTCATAAGTTACAATTTGATGTAATTTTATAAAGTTGTGACTACTTTTCTTTATTATATTCTGAATCTCCAAAAATTGGAATTGTAACTTAGGAAATTGAACTAATTGTGAAAGAATAATTTAGATGAATTAGTGAAATAATAATTAGATTAAAATAAAAGATTTTATATTGCATTTTAGAAACTTTTATGTTAAATTTCTTTCTTCCAATTTATTATTTTTATACATTTACCATGTACTGCAGAAAAAAAATACTTTTCTTAAAAGTTGAGTGCTTTATACTTCCCAGCAACTTCTTTTTTATGCTTTATTTCTATACAATGTTATCTTTTCTTTCTCTTGTTTTTTTTTATTTTTTATATATACTTGACAAATTAAGTTTTAACTGTTGATTTCTGTATATTTTTTAATTTATTTTAGTTAATTTGGATAAAATGCTAACATTATAATTGTCTGTAGTTGATCCACTTATATTATTTAAAATTTATCTTGCCAAAATTTGGAAAAGTTTTTTAATTTTTATACATGTTAAATTGATTATGTATTATTAATAACATATATAAATTATAGTATAATTTATTGTAGTTTTTCTATATTATTAATATTTAATATATATTACATTTTAGAACATTCAATTACATTTTTAAGGAAGAAATCTTATATCTAGAACTTACTTACACAGTTTAATAAATCTCTCAGGAGTTTCAATTTTGCAGCCATTAAAATGGCAAAATTTTGTAAATTCATCTAAATAATGATTTTATATTTTTCTTTTAGAGCCTGCATATGCACTTACAGCTAAATGCATGGTAAATGCTGGTTTGACTATACTTCTTGAAAAAGATAAACTACCTCTAGAGTAAGTTATCAAGTCAATAGAGTGTAATTCTTTGATCTATTAGAGAGACATTTTAGTGATATGTGCTGTTAAAATATCGCACATGAAAGTTTTTAATTCATTTTTATTTAACTGTTAATCACTGAATTTTATGATTATTAGGAAGTAAAATTAATCTTTGGTACTCTATTATGTCGATGCATTCTGTTTGACAGTTGATTAAGATTTTGATTGATTGAATTTTTTTGTTAAATCGTAATTTAATGTATTCTTTAAGATACATTTATAAATTATTATTTTTATTTTGAAATTAAATTTCTTTGATCTTTAAAAAAGAACCATTTTTAAGAATTGTTATATCTATAACTCAAGTTACACATAATTATAAGCATTGTGTAAAATATGTATTTTAAAAAATTAAGTATTTTCCTTTCAACTTGCATTGCAGTAACATATTTGCCAGCTTGCAGAATGTTGGTATAGACTTAACAAAATTATTATAAAATAATAATTATCAAAAGAATATTCTTAAAATTAAGCTACTTTCCATATATTTTAAAGCAATAATTCAAATATATCTATACTAAGTAATATAAATATATTTGAATTATTGATTTGACACAATATTTTCACTTTGAAAACCGTTATTTTTGTATTTAAAAACAAATATTTTCACCACTGAAAAAAATATTCCTAAGGCATGTTTGTAAATATGCATTAAAAATGTGGAGTAGGGCAAACCATCTTCATGTGAAAATTTAGTTTCAAAACTAAGACCATTTTCAAAATTTTAAGTTTGAAAGACCAAACGAAAAATTTCATTACAGCATTGAATTCAGATGGAAAAAAAACATTGATAAATATACCTGTTTGTATATTATGGAGAAAAAGTATTTTGGGCTCAATTTAATTATAATTCTGCAAGTTTAGCCGTGTTATCACATTATAATTCTTTCCTTGTAATTTAAATCAATGCTAATTGTTTTTCTTTCAATATATTTTCAGAGGTGGTGTTCTTTCTCCTGGTGTAGCATTTGCTAAAACTTCTCTTGAAGAAAGATTGAAAAAACGTGGAATGACTTTTGAATTTGAAAATATCAATTAAAGTTAATTATTAGTGGCTGATAAACTTTGTCAATAATATGCATCTTATTAATTTGTATTCTTCTAAATAAAAATATTCACCAGTAATGGTATTATAAATATGGTACTACCAAATGAGCAGGAGCATATATTCAAATTTAAATGCAGAAAATTGTTCAAATGTAGCCATTTAAAGCTATAATTCCTTAGAATGTACTTTATAGCCTCTTATGTTAGTTAGAACTCAGAGAATTTGCATAATTTTATTCAAATATACTTCAGAAACACATAAGGCGTTTATTTAGCCATTTGTGACAATTCTAAGGATACTTCCAGAACTGCTTCTAAATTACAAAATTTAAAAATTATTTATAATTCCAAAAATGCAGTAAATCTCTGTAATTCCAATGGTCTGCATGATTTTAATTTTTTTCAAGGTTCTATCCCTTTTTGCTTCTTTTAAATTTCTGTTGGTTTAAAAAAACTTAATCTACATTCAACTTAATGGAGAAAAGTCAATCTTAATTATCGATAGTACAGTAATCAAGAATTTATGACTGAATGCTTGAAGAATTATCTCGTTATTTATATGACATCAATATCATGTCATTTAAAAGATAGTTTATTGATTTTTTTATATCTAAACATAACCAAGATTACTTCTGATATTATCCTTTAAAATTTAATAGATGCAAAATAATGTTCTCCAATATACTAAAAAAAATTTTAAATTGCATATTGATATTAGCATTTACATTCTATTTTTGATATTAATTTAAAATATGGACCGAAATTTGTATACTAATTCAACTAGGCATACTATGTTACTTGACTGGCACTTTTGTCCCTCTTCAATACAATTTAAAAAATGTAAAAGATAATTTCCATACAAAACAAGTTATTTTGTGATTATCTTTTACCAAATGGTTAAAGAATAAATTTTTTCTTGATGTATATTTAATTTTTTATTTACTTAATTTTTATATGTTTTACCTATTAAGCTGTGAAAGTTATGATTTTTAAATGAAAAATGAGCTTACAATTTTGACTGTGTTATTTGTTAAATGAAAACAACTTTTTTTATTGTTGTATAATGTGTTTTATCAATTTTAGCCATGTTTATATTCATTCTTTTTTAAATTAATATTCTAATTTTAAAGAGAAATGAGCTTATAATATTGATTTATCTTGTTTGGTAAATATTGAAATTTTTTTAATGTTTATTGCTTCATTAATATATTTTACCGAATAATAACTTGTTTAATTTGATTTTTTTTCCTTCAGAAAATGAGCTTATAAATGATGTGATCTTTGCTAAATACTGAAACTAGAAATTACATTTATTTTTTACTATTATTAAACTGTTATAAAAATGTTTAGATTTTTATATGCTTACAAATAATGTAATGGAGGAGCATGTGAAATGTGTTGAATATGAAATCTAATCTTGCAATATGTTCTCTCACTTTGAGAGAGCAGATTTTAAAAAGGAGTGGTTTCTCAAAACTGAATGGGAAAATATAACAATTATGTGCTACAAAGATAAATTGCACCACTTTAAGTATTAGTTTAATGTTCAATTTTTGGATTAAAGTTCTTTATTTCATATGTATTTTAAATAAACAGTATTAAAATTTTAATTTCATTAAAAAGTTTGCGATTTTAATTGCTATTTGTTTTAATTATCTGAAACTTTAGTTTATATGCTTATGATGTGTGCAATATTGAATTTTTATATCTAGATGTTGTTTATTCTCTTTTCAAAATATTCCATTATATTTACTTAATGTTGATGTTTGTTTCTTTATAATTTTTATTAATGCTTGGTTGCCTGTGATTAATGCTTACTAAATGTTGCATATTGTGGTATATTATGAATGTTTTAAATCTTGAACTATTTTTTATTTTTATTCTTACGCTTTTTTGTACTTTGTTGACACCGTGACTTTTTAAAATATATATTTGGTGGAAATATATTTTTTATTGTGTATAAAACCAAAAAATAAAACCTATTACCATTGTTAGCTACTATATTTTCTTAGAGATATTTTGCTTCAAATAAAATTTCTTGCGGAAATATTTGTTTTAGTTTCCACTTCTTTATCTCATTATTGAATCCTCTCTCTCATATCTTGTAGTTAGTCTTTTGTATTATTGATTGCATTATCTCATTAATTGATATTTAATTTTTGTAAAATTTTTTAATTTTGATGTAATCAACTTAGTTAACTTAATACAATCATTATTTTTAATTATTGTATTGCATGCATTGCTTGAAAAGTTCGCAGTAGCCACACATATGCTTCAACATCAATTAATATTTAAAATCGGTTGCTTATGATTTTCATTGCAATATAAACCAAAAGAAACATTTTGAGACTATAAAAATTTGAACTTAGAAGAAAAATTAACTATGATTACCAGAGAAATGTGTCTGTTATTGATTTTCGTGCAATGTAATATTTTTCTGAAAAGATCTGCAGAAATAACTTTAGCATTTCTACATGACTGTTAATTTTTTTTTACATAATTTCAAAAAAAATAAATTTTTTATTAAGAAGAACCAAAATACTAATTGGAAACTTTATTTTAATAAAAAAATTAATTTGAAAATAATAAAAGGCTAAATGTGAAAATTCCTAACAATAGTTTATAGATTGAATAATTTAAATTTTATCTATTTAAACTGAATAATTTTTATGGAAAGCAATTTAAAAGTTCCGAAATCTCAACAAAAAAATTAATTATAGTCTTAGTTTAAATTTTTAAAAATATTTAATAGAACTTTAATAATAATAGAACTGATATTTTAGCAATTTACTTATGTTTTTTTTTAATTTGTCTTCTATTTTCAATAAGGATTAATTACGTAATTTTATAAATTCTTTCTTACTATAATTTTGAAAAAAATACTTTTAAACCCAAAATACCATCAAAATAAATTTCATCTTGTTATAATTTCTTTTTCTTCAATGCTGCTATCTAATAGCATCTTATAACACTACAGATTAGTATGCTGTGTCAGTGAACAAAATAAAGGATCATTTCAACTTCATTAAATTTATTTTGAGTATTTCAATTCAAACTACGTGAGAGCAAAAAAATGTACGTATACAGCATTGTGAATGGAGTGTGTCTAGTCAACGTATACTAATTGAATAGTGCCAAGATTAGAGATTCTTGCTGCTAGGTGCTTCTTTGAAAGACTAGACACTTAGAAATTATTCTTTAGAAATATGTTTAAAGCTGAGTATGATAAAAGACATGTAAAAAATAACAAAATAGTTTACCCTACAAAAGAGTTTTTTAAAACAATCTTGGAGAATAATGAAAAAAGAATATACTGAATGATTGAAAAACTTCCATATAATGATAAAAGAAAATCTATAAAAAAATCAAATTTCTTTCAAAATATAAATGTTAATAATACTTTTAAAAACATTTTATTGCTTTAAAGTCTATAATATCTTTAAATTGTTTTTTTTTTTAATTTATTGGTATTTAATAAACATCAAAATTCAGCTATAAAATATTGAATTTTGTTATTAATTTAAATAACTTATAACTATAAAATTAAAAATATTTCTCAAAGTTTGAGTAAAACGTACGCGATCGAATTTTTCATATTGTCTGGAAATATATTGGGACATTGAAAAATCAGGGCCGAAAGTACAATCGGAACACTATGAGCCGCGATGGCTCAGGGGATAGAGCATTCGCCTTCCAATGAGGCGTACCGGGTTCGAATCCCAGTCTATACGAATTCCGCATTCGGCTTGCACTGGCAACAATGCTGACGTAGTCAGTGCAAGCCGAATGCTGACGTGAAATATCCTCAGTGGTAGACGGATCATGGGTTAGAGTCTCCTTGCAGTCAGGCTAACCGTTGGAGGTTGTCGTGATCTTCCTCTCCATGTAACGCAAATGCGGGTTAGCTCCATCAAAAAGTCCTCCACGAAGGCAAATTTCTCCCAATACTCGATCCAGGAGTTCTAACTGAGAAATAACCGGAATTTTAAAAACCACAGAGCTTTACTAGCATTGACTGCCGAGAAAAGTTTTAAAAAAAAAAAGATCAAATAGTCACATTAAAAGTAAATAAGTGTAATAAAATTGTATAAAAAAAAAACATCCGAGATTTTTTTTAAAAACTAATGTGAAAATTCGTAGCAATAATTATCGAAAGAGCGATTGAAACACCACATGGATTACCGATGACTTGGCACAAACCGATAGTGTTTCACAGAGATTACTTGAATCCGCGATTCTAACTTTATGCGCTATATATGGCACATAATTTTTATTCAAAAAAAGTGAGAATGCCAATAACAGCTACACCGTAAAGAACATCGAAATTATAAATATAAATATTCCTAGCAATAATTGTCGAAAAAAATGATAAAAACACAACATATATTTATCATGGAATCGGCCTGAGTTGTGAGCTATGCTGATGAAGTGAAGTTTTAAATGCGTGATTTAGACTTTTCATGCACACAATATTTATTATAAATGTTGCATCGATTTTGTTTCAACCGAATTTTTAAAAAAAGTAAAGAATATACTGCATTGACTGATTGGTTTGCTACAAATCTAAATTTTTAACTAAATCCTCACTCCACAGTCATATTTTATAAAATGTTTTTTTTTTTTTTTCCTTCTTTTTTTCTTTTTGAGAAAATGAAATAAAAAACATGATTTCTGAAGGAACAACTTTTAAACCTGCGTGATTTCGAATTACACTTAACAATCTAAAATCCAAGCACAGAATAATTTTCAGAACTCCCTTGTTTTTTAACTTATAAGGTGACTTAGATTAACTGATCAATTTTATGCTGACAGTAAAAAAATATTTATTTTCACGTAACTTTTGATCTTGTGATCGGATTTTCAAATACTAAGATTCAGTATCAATTCCCAAGAAGCACAGAAACATCGATCTATCCCGTAGCCGTTCCTATCAATATTTTGAAAGCGGAGGAATATAGTTACTGTGAGCAAGTTATTGAATGAATTCCATCAATGAAACTTTAAAAGTATTTTTCTTAAGACACTCTATTTTAAATATATTTTAGTTTCAAGGTTCAAAATATTTGTTAGAAAGATAAAAATCTATCAGTTGAATAATTATTCAACTGATAGATTTTAATTAGTGGTACTATTTAGTTAGAAAATTTGTCAAAAGCTTGGACTCCTTGAAATTTTAACAAAAGTAATTTCTCCCAATTTTAAATTCGTTTATACAAGGATAATACTATTAAAAAAGAGCAATAATTTTTGTAATTTATTTAAGCTTTATGCACTGGTGAGCAAAAATTTAGGATGAAGTAGTTTTTCGAATGTAACAGTATTGGTTAAAATCAATAAAAATCATACCATAGGATCCTCAAAAGTTGAAGTTAAAGATTTTGAAACTAATTACGTTTATTTCTCAACTACTATCATAATTAAAAGTGTGGACCACCGCAGAATCTTAGAGGCTGCTAGAGGTAAGTTTAATATTTCTCAAAGACTTTTCTACTAGATTTTTCAGAAACTAATATTATGTGTAAACAACTTCGACGAATCTATACAAACGTTATTATTTAGTTGATTGAGTAAAAATTAACTTGTCTATTATTTCAGAAATATCTAATGTCTCATTTAACATTATTATTTTGTATGAATGATGCTTTCAATGTAAATGTAAACAACAACAATCTCGAGCTCTTGACCTGCTCTACTTCTGGCTAAAAAGTATACAACTGCTTACCACGCTGCCTATTCTGCGAGGTGATATTTTCAAACTGATAATTTTGTTTTTAATAAAGGAAATAAATCATAACTTCTGAGCTCAAATCTATTGTATTTCATCAAGATATTAATTACATTAAGTAATAATTCTGGTGAGTTTGAAGTGAAAATTTGTTTAAGTTATTTAGAGTTATATTGTTAAAAAAGGTGACATAGTTGCTAAATTCAGATAGAATTCGCTTTTTTTGGCAGTTCTGATTTGGTCTCTTTTCACTTGTTTATTACTGTTTGTTCTTGGTGCAAGCCATGCACCAATGAACTTAATTTCAATTTTCGAACAAATTATCTTTTAGGATTAAATTTATAAGTTGGTATTTTGTTAATAAGATAAGTTTTTATAACGATTCTTTTTTCAAATGACAATTCTAGCGTCTTGAAAAGACATGTTTCAAATGACGTTTCTTATAACAATTCTTCTTTTAAAAACAAGTAATAAATCAGGTTACAAATACTCGTGTGCAAGAAATACTACAAGAAAGTCACAAAACACAATGATCACATCACATTGTAAGCGAAATGGCTTTAAAGCACAGCAAAAATAGTAACCCGGGAGTATAGACAGTCAACAGCTCGCAGCGTTCCCAGTGTCAAAAATAACATCCGATATATGGGTCCAATTTGTAACGCTCTCTATAATAAAAAGAGATCATAATAATAGTAAGCTAAATAAAACAAAACTAAGCACCCGGAAACGTATTGAAAATTCCCATCTCTATTCGTAAACAAAACCAAGATAAAAAGGAATAAAGGTTGCAACCGGTATAGGAAGTTTTCTTTTACATGACTGTCACTTTCTGACTTTCTTCCCGCTTTGCTTCAAGTTCATCAAAAAATGTCTGAAATTAAAAATAGAGAATTTGATATTATAATTTTCGGTGCTACTGGATACACTGGCCGATATGTAATAGAAGAATTGGCTCATTCTTCTAAGTCAATTGACATTAAATGGGCTATTGCTGGCAGGAATAAGGAAAAATTAAAAGAATCATTGGATATTGTTAAAGAATATCTTGGACAAGGTAAACTATATAAGAAGTTTTTATATGCTTTTGTGTGATCTCAGTGTTTTTATTAAAATTGTAATTCTAAAAGTATTGTGAAGAATTAATTGACAAGTTTTAAATTTGTATTAATGATAGAGAATGATTCTTTTTGTTATCAAATTGCTGTATGCTTTTTGTAATGTTAATTCCTAAATAACCTCACTTAAACCTAAAAAAAGTAAAATATCTACCAAAGTTTGTTTTACTATCACTTTTTTTTTTGTTTATCAATTTTCACTTTAATTTAAAATTTGTTTAAACTGGTTTAGAAAATTTATTTGTACTTTATACTTGAAAATAAAAGCATTAAATAATATTTCATTCTTGAAAAACATCCTAACTCATCTTTGAATTACTTTAATGCATTTAAGGACATATATAACATTATTTTCTATTATAACAAATTATTATTGAAAAAATCAGCTACAAACTTTTGAACTATTAAAACTTGCACATATTAGTTATAATACAAGCTTTATATGATGAAAAAAATATTAATCAATTTTATTCCTTTTAGAGATTGATATTAGCAAGACTCCTATGATTGAGGCTGATGTTAAGAGTGACACATCTTTATCAAATATGTGCAAAAGGGCTAAGTTGATACTTAATTGTGTTGGACCTGTAAGTAGCCTTTTTCCTACCTTAATTTGGAACTAACTAACCTAACTTTATTCTTATTTCTAATGAAAAATGAGAAAACTAAATTGAAAGAATACCCCAAAGAACAAAATGTCAAGATTTTCTTTCTTTCACTTGACTGCAGGCTTAACTGAAAGGAATTTATTCTATTTTTTTCCCCTGTATCATTAAAATAAATTTAAACAACATAAAGTTTTTATGTATAATTTATAAAGGACGCCTTTTATTCGCAAATTTTGCTGCATGTATGTTGGATTAAGCTGAATTTGTGCAATATTAATCTTTATCTGAAATTCATGCCTTAAATTCTGTTACTTTGTCTAAAGTTTAAAATTTGATAAAATAGGTCAAATAAAATGGTGGACATTTTTTTAATATAAACTGAAAAGGTTTTATAAATGAGTATATTAAAAAAAAATATTAAGTTTTAAAATACTAAATTCAAGATCTTTGGATCATCTTTATTCATACTGAAAGTTTTTATTTATTAATTTAATTCTAAAAAATACTTTTGTTCAATTATGTCTTTCATTGAACAAAACAACAGTAACACCTTTTTAACTTGTTTTATTTTATTAAATAAATGCATATGTGATTTATAATTCAGCAAACATTATATGTGACCTCGGTTTAAAGTATTTGATTGCAAACTATTTGAAATTAACTTTACCTACAACCATTAATTTTCAAAACACTTCAATTTGTAGAAAGTAAGCAATTCATTGAAGAGTTTAATAGTATATTTTTACATACTTATTTAATATCATTGAATTTATACTTGAACATGTAGATTTTAGTTTGTGTTTCTTTATATGACTTTATTGTTATTTATTTTAAATATTTTTACATTTAGCAACACATGTAAATTATGCATCAAATAATATATGTTTTGTGACTTATGTGCTGAGAAACATTTCTATGTTAGCCTAAGTATTCAAAATTTCTTAAGATATGTAGGCACATTATGTGAATACAATATGCAATTGAAAAAAAAAATTTTTTGAAAATATAACAGGAATAGTTTGTTTTCAGTTTTTGTAAGTATAAAACTATTTGCTAATTATTATTTTTTAATTAATCCCTTTTTTTCAGTACAAATTGTTTGGGGAACCTGTAATAAAAGCTTGTTTAGAAAATGGAACTCATCATGTTGATATTAGTGGAGAACTAAAGGTTTAGTCTTTTTTTTTAAAATTCATTTAAAGTAAACATAGCCTTAATGTTTTATTTACACCTTGACACATCCCTGAACTATAGAGCTTTTGTCCCTTTTCAACTCACAAATCCTAGTTTACTTGTTATCCATTGTTTGTTTAATCTAATTGTATTTGAGGCTTAATGCAAAACAAGCAATATCAGTATTCTAAAACTTAGGCTGCAAAATTTTTATAATTTATTTAAAAATTATTGCAATGGCTATTTTATGTTTATGTTATGGTACCAGGGGTCTGTCCAGGCCGAATTTACTACCGTTTAGCGGTACCTTCACGAATTCAACTTTAGGAAAAACGATAGTTTCACAAATTCAATTTTAAGAAAAACGGTAGTTTCACAAAATACTTTTTCTTAAAATTTTATTTTTGTATCCCTTAAGAAACGATAAATCCACATTTTTACCATATTTTTGTGTTGATTTTTAAATAGAACTTTTAATTTTTCACAAATTATGTCTAAATTTTCACAAAATAGGTACCTCTCAGAAAAACCTAGACAAACCCCTGGGTACCAAAATTGACCCAAGTTGTAAAAATAAGTTTTTAGCTGAATGCATGTAGGACTTTTCTCCATACATTGATATTGGTTGTTCTTGTATGAAGTTTCCGGTATTAATTATTATTGGTAATTAATTTGATTATTGTTATCACTGTATTACTGTTTGAATTTAAAAAATTATGAATCCCGAATGCATTTTAGAAATATTACAAAATAATAGATTATCTGATTTAACCAAGGTGAAATTAGGTTCAAATATTGTTTACACCTTTAAAATGATAAGTAAATGATAAAAAAAATGATAAGTATATAATTTAAATAATAATGAATGATTTAAATTATAAAAGGAACTGTCAAAAGAAGATGAATCACTCAGAACAAAGCATCCTGAAAACCTGAATATTTAAAAAAAAAACTAATGGTTTTAAAGAAATAATAAAGGTTAAGAGGAACAAAACTGAAATACTAAAAGAAAAAACTCATTTAGTTTATTCTGAAATTTCAGATTTTCTAGTTAGTGTACTAAGTTTTATTTTTTCCATGAAAAAGTGCAGTACTAGAATTTTATTTAAAAAAATAAAGCTTAATAAATAAAAATAGAAAACACTGCTTATAGAAAATAATAAAAATGAATGAAAGGGAGAAATTTAGGTTAGTTGCTTATTAAAGATAAAATGAAAGATTATAAGAAAGAAAGAAAAAAGCTAAAAGGTACTCAAAATAATTGAAGTAAGGAAGGGAAAAAAAACTAAATTTTTAAACAAGAAAGCTCATGAAAAAGAAACAGGAAAAAAAATTATTCTATGTTTCATTTATTTAATAACTATTCCTTCTGATCTAATCTTTTTAATATTCAATACTCTTGTTATTATTTTCATTTTTATGTCCCAGTCATTATATGGTAATGAGTTTCCTTTAAAGGAACTTTAAATAGGCTCAAATACAAACCATCATAAAAGAAAAAACTAATAATTTTATCCCTTTTTTGTTTTATTTGCATTGAGAGATTTTATTTAAATAATTTTCTCTGCGAGCTTTTACTTTTTTTAAATATAGTTTTTTAGTAATAATTTCTTTTTCCTTCCTTTCTTTTCTCTTTTTTCATTTTATTTTATTTATTTATTTATTTTTTAACCTAGTATTAATTTTTGCTCCTTTTCTTTTTATACCACTAAGCAACTCCTTTTTAAACACTCCTACTGTTTTTCAAAATATATTTAAACTTGATTTGAATCAAATTCATTCAAATGAATTGTAGAAACTTTACAAATACAGGTAGAAAAGAAGAAAAGAAAAATATTTTTTTAGTCATAATTTCTTTTTCCTTCTTTTCTTTTTTATTTTATTTATTTATTTAATTTATTTATTTTTTAAACCTAGTATTAACTTTTACTCCTTTTCTTTTTATATCACCAAGCAACACAACTCCTTTTTAAACACTCCCACTGTTTTTCAAAATATATTTAAACTTGATTTGAATCAAAATCATTCAAATGAATTGAAGAAAAAAAGAAGGAAAATTCATTTACTAATACAAAATTGAGCAAAATAGCAGAAAAGCAGTTCAAGAGCTAATATTCAAGTGGAACAGGTATCACCATTCAGTGAGAAAAATAAAATAAAAATTATAACAAAACATATAAGGCATTTGATAAAAGATGTGACTATGAAAAATTATTTACTGAAACATTGCTGTTTTAGTATATGAAAAGCTTTCTAGAAATCAAGGTCAATTGCTGATTTAAATTTTCGAATGATTGTTGGTGGCAGAAAACACTATTCTGTGCTTTGATTCCAATTTGAAGGTTATAAGAATGTTCTTCAAAAAATAACATTGTTGGCCCATGCATTTAGATTTTTCTTTTGCTGTGATTTTCTTTTCTTTTTCTTCATTTAATGCGTGTTTGGAAAAAAAATTTTTTTTATGGAATATTATGTTTGTTCAAGGCGTAGAAATTAAGTTGCTTGAAACTAATAAGATTTCTGGTTAACTTGTTGAACTCGTATGAACTTATAAAGGATTAATAGTGTAAAAAATATTTTTTAATAGTTTTTAGAAGAAACTCAGATCAAGTATTTTGATGCTGCACGTGAGAAAAATGTTTATATTGTTGGAGCTTGTGGATTTGACAGCATCCCTGGGGACTATGGAATGACTCTCTTGAAAAAACATTTTCCTGGTTAGTTGAAAATTAGCTATTTTTTATTTTGCAATTCTATAAAATATTTATTCTTCAATCTATTAAATAATTTTAATAACATTCTTTTAATATCAGTTTAAGATTTATTGTTTACTTTTTTTGTAACTTTGAATGACTTGTTAAAAAAAAAGTAAGTACTCCTACAAAAAATTCTTTTGATAATTTTGCTATAGAGGTCCACCAGTTTCTGTATATATAAAAGCTCCCAAAATATATTATCTAAAATAATTTTATTCAAATTATATTATTTTTATTTATAATTTACTCTGGATTATACTGAGTATAATATGATCCAGCAAATGCTGATAGGTCAAAAATGTCACTTGTATCTTTTTTCTGACATTTATAAATTTGATGTTTCTTAATAAAATTTTGTTATTGTACAAAATAAAATAAAAATTACCAAGAATATAAGAGGAAACATTTTATATTATCTGGTCAAAATTTTGCGAAATTGAAACTCGTGTACAGAAATTACTGTGAAACTAATTCTCATGCATTTTCACATAGACAAAATGTTATAACACAAACTTTTATTTTGAACAAATTACTAATTTTCTAAAGTTGTATTTATTATTTTGTTTACATGCATACAATGTTAAGCCTTCAAACCAAACTGGATAAACTGCAATGTAGATAATAGGGAGTTTATTATATTCTCAATTAAATACCTTTATATATTACCTTTTCTATAACCTTACTTTTCTTAAAAAAATGTTCTTAACAAATTATAATAGAAATATGTTATAATTAATGTTATTTTCAATTTTAAACGTAATGTTTTAATCTGTTTCAGGTGATTTGAACTCTGTTGAATATTATATCAGCATTGGAGTAGGGCCTGAAGTAAAAAAAAATATTATATATTTTTATTATGGAAATTAATTACATATTGTTCAAAAAATATTTATGCTGTTATTTTATAATGATTAATTCATAATGTAATATTTTAATTTTAAATCAACAATCTATCTTATACATAGTATCAAAAAATAACTCGCATTCCCTTTTTTATAACCTATATAAAAAAGAGTTTTTTGTTTGTAATTTATTTATTGAAGAATAATTTTTCATCACTTATAGTCAATATCAACCTTAATACACTGTTTTTTTATTTATTTTTAAAATATTGTATTATAACATGCTTGAAACTTTAAAGGTTGTGTGACAAAATATATGTCATTTAAAGATGACTATAATGTTATGCTTTCTTTCCCTTTTTCTCAAATAAAATTTTCAAAGGTTCAATTAAAATATTAAATAATTCTTTATTAAATAGTTTACGTTATTCTCATACTTTTTTTGCTACCATTTCTTTAAAGGCTATTAAAAAAGTGCAGTATACATGGTAGTAATTAAACCAAAATAAGTAAATGTTTTTATTTTGGTTTAATTACTACCATGTATACTGCACTTTTTTAAATGTTAATATTAATATAACATTTAATTAATAAATGTTTTTATTTATTATAGCTTTTTAGCAATAATTAGTTATTTATACAATACACTTTTTCTTTCCTTTTTTTTATATTATACCGTCATCTATAGCTCTATTAACTTCAGTTATATTCTGAACTATTAAGCACAAAATAATATATATTTCCAACCACTTTAATGAGTTTTAAGGTACACCTACTCACTTTTTAAGTAAAATAAATCAGATTCACTTACATACAGCCATTGTAGAATTCAATCCAATCCACAACAGTATCATCTTTAACACTTTAATTATCACTCAAGCACTTTTTTTCTGTTCCAAAAAGCTTTCTGAAATGTTTCGCTAGAATTTGTTTGAGCTATCCAATAAAATATCTTTAGTAAAATTTTGTTGATAAAATAACTCTTTATTATTATTATGAGCAGTAGTTTTATTTTATAAAAAAATATGTTTCTTAGGGTCGATCTACAAACATTGGAACTTTTCTCTCGGCTGTTTACTCATTTTGGGATAATATGTTTGTCAAAGAAGCCGATATAGCTCTGAAAGAAAAGCTGTTTAAAGAAGATCTACCATCACCAAAATATCAATTGCCCTGAAGGTACAGAATTTCAGTTCATAGTGCTATATTTATTAATTCATATTGCTATTTATTACTTTGAGTCACAAATAAATTCTGCTTTGAAAGTAAGTTAAAAAAAAAATTAAATTAGGAAAATAATAAGAAACCTCACAAATTATGGTTTAAAAACACTTCTTTTTCAGAAAAATACATTTGATTTAAGTGCTTAAATACAAATTTTATTAAGAGTCATAACAAGAAAATTGACATAATTTTATTTAAGTGAGTTGTGATACTTATTTTTGATGTATGGCAGTTATTCCTCAATGGTTATATTTTGCATCTTTTTTAACTACTTTCAAATGTAGTGAATCTTGCTAAGTGTAGTAAACTTTTTAATTTGAAATCAATTCAAAGATTTTTTTTATTAGTCATTTAAATTTTGTGTATTTTCAAAAGAGGACATGTAATTAAGGCAAAACTAAATAAATGAAAAAAAGAAGAAGAAAAAAGACTAAATACAAGAACTTTGGGAAATTTTGAGAATTTGTTTTGTGTTAAAGGGATCTGGAACTTCTAAACTAAGTTCACCATTTGTCAATGTATATAAGATGGTTGTTTGAAAATTTTTAGATTGTTTCAGCTTATGATAAAGTATCACAAACTGGTTATTAAAAAGATGAGAGAAAGAAAAGATCACAGTTTCTATATTGTTAAGATCCTTTTTCCATCTTAGCAAATTTTTGTATTATTGAGTATTTATTTTGTGTTATACATATTTCACCTTATTTCATATTTTTAAATTAAATTCAAAAATCAACGTGCTTATTAAAACTTTATTTTATAATTTTAAACATATTTCACACTTTTTTTAATAGTATAATTAAAAACTTTAAATAAGAAATTAATCTCACTTTTATTTTTAAAAAAAAGTCCTACTTATTGTATTGACAGGAGTTATGATGTTTAATTTATTTTAAATTTATCATGAGAAACTCTTTGTAATTATATATGATTATTTCAAAAGAATAAGAATAAAAAGATTTGTGAATTTTTGCTGCTATTGTTACTTTATTAATGCACGTTCAAAAAGGCTATTTTTAATTCCTCAAATTACTATTCCTTAGGATTAATCTATTAAATTATTGGAAAAAATTGCTTTTAAATGATTGGTAAAATATTTTGCTACATATCTTTGTAAAAGGAAACTTTCTTAGTTTAATGTGATAATATTTTTCCCCCAGATTACCTCCACTTTCTTATATTTCTGAGGAGAAAGGATGGGGTCTTTGGTTTCTGGGTCCAGATGAGCGAGTCATTTTAAGAAGTCAGTTGTTTCGCCATAATTACTTAAAAGAGCGACCAGTAAGTTAATGTTTTTTTATGGAAATAAAAAGAAATAAATATGTTCTTTGAGTCAGGATGACAAAAGAGATTTAATTATTGCTATCGCTAGCAAAGTAGGATAGTTCAGGGCACAGAAAGGTAATTGCCTCTCAATAAAGTGGTCCAGATTTGAATCTATAATGATCTCAATGTAAAATGATAAAAAATATCTTGGGTGATAGATGGATAATTTCTTAGATCCTGTTCCTGTCAGCCTAATTGTCAGAGATTTTTTTCATCGATTCAGGTGGTGGAAATCACTTTATATATATATGTGTGTGTAGTGATTTATTGGGTAATGCGGGAAAAAAGACAATAATTAACTTAACAAATTTAATAGTGAAAGTATAACAGCGACATGAATAGCACAGAGCTGCCTGCACACAACGTTTCAGATCAAATACTGTCTAAAGAATCAGTAATTCTAAAGAGAAGAATTAGTCAATTGAATCTATGAAATTTATTGACTTTTCCCTTCAAGACACTCTGGCATCATGAATTACAGGACTTTTCCCTTGTAGACAGTCTGGCACCACTATACTGTTGGTGAATCAAGGATGATAGTCAATAACAACTCCCATATGTATATATACTTGTGTAATTAGAATTTTCTCCATCAATTTGTTTTAATTTATATTTCTATGCAAAACCTAATTTTTCATACTTTAATTCTAGTTTGTTTGTTTTCTATATAATGTTTCTTCCTTGTTTTTAAAAAAATAAATATTTTTTAGATTTTGTCTCATGGTTACATGAAGTTATCTTCATTTTTTACTGGATTGTTACTCATAATGTTTGCTGGATTTTTTGGATTCATGACGTCGTTTTCTTTCGGTCGATACCTATTGGCAAAGGTTTGTTGTACTACAAAACAAAAAATATATATTGTACTGTTAAAAAGTAGAAATTAAATTTGTTTTAATTAAATTTTTTAACAAATTATTGTATCATTATTGATGTTGGAGGATTTTAAATCTATTGAATCTTTAATTTGAGTATTTTAGCATATTTAAATTATAATGTATGCATCCAATGTAAATTTTTGCAATTTAGTAGCTGATAATTAATTTAGCGCTTGCAAAGAAGGCAGAATTTATTCACTACTTTTTTTTGCTTTCTGCAGCATGTGATTCAATTAAATTGTATGTAAAACAGACACAAAGAACTGCAATAATTAATGTCCTTGCATAAAAATACCATTTTAAATTTGCAGCATTAGTACTTTTCATTTAAGTAAAAAAAAAATCTATCGCTTTTTTTTTCTTTTTACATGAATGCACTTGGCAATATATCTATACCATTTTGAAAACATCTTTAATATTTGTCATTAAGAATTTATTTTAATTTTTTTTCTAAAGATGAGTGTGTAGGAGCTTGTTTAAAAATAATGTAGAAAAGAACATAGTCTTATTTTTATACCAAATAGATTTGCATTAAAGAAAATACTGTAATATAATTTTAAAGTGTTTTTATTTTTATCTCTTCCAAAAAGTGAGAGTTGTTTGTTATTCATTGCTTTTAAATACTTTCATTATTATTTTATTATAGTACCCATCTTTTTTTACTGCTGGTGTATTTTCAAGTACTGGGCCAACTCGAAAACAAGTATGTTGAAGATAATTTATTTCCCATTTTTGGACCAATTATCATTTTCCAATAACATTTTACTGATATTTCATTACTTGAAATTTTAAATACTCTAACATAAGTGCGCATTGTCTCTAATTTTTATGTCATCACTTGAACTCTTGAAAAATTTAAATATCTCTCCTATGGTCAAAAGTATCTCACTACAAGCAGAGGAACTGCTGTAGTTTGCTGCTTTTTTAAGTAATTTTTAGTACAGTGCTCTAATTTTTAAAAGTAAGTGAAAAGAATTGGTTTGAAGTAGGAGACAGCTAAGATCGAATCTTCACAGCCGAAAAACAAGGTTAAAACTCTGTACTTCCTGTGCTACTTTATGGAAACGAAACTTGGACTCTAAACTCAGATATACAGTGGACACTAGACACATTCGATAAAAAGATCCTCAGAGCCATCTTTGGCTCAATTTAAGAAAGGGGATGCTTTGGAACCAGATATAACTTCGAGCTCTACCGACTCTATAAGCAACTCCAAATTTCACAAATAATCTGCAGTAATACCCTGAGATGGCTGGGCCATCTATGGAGAAGCTCTTAAACTAGCGTCATGAGAATTGTCACCTTTAAGAACCCTGAGGGGTCGCCCCAGATGCAGACCCCCTACTAGATGGCTTGATGACATCGAAAAAGATTTGAAAACCATAAAGATTAGAAATTGGAAGGGAGTTGCCTTTGATAGGAGGCACTGGCATTTGTTAGCTGTTGTGGCAGCCAAGGCCTGCAAGGGGCTGAAAAAGAAGAAGATATAAAGTATATCAGATTTTAATAAAAAATTTGAAATTTTCAAAAAGTAGAAATGTTTCAATTGCTAAAAAGTTTTACTAAAATGCTTCAGTTTGTGCAAAGTTACTAATGTTTTGATAAATGCATTGTTCTCTATAAGAATTTTATCTAAGACGTTTGAAATTTACTAAAGAAAGAAAATTTTATGTTAAAAAATTATCCATAGAATTAAAACTTTTCATTCAAAAATAAATGTTCTGCTAAAATTATTTCATTTCTGTTTAAGTTGCTGATATGAAATGTTAAAAATATGTTCTGAAAAATCTGTTTAATTTAAAATCGTCTGTATATTATACTAACTGCAAAGTGATTGCTGTGTGGATAGGTAAAATTATAGACCAAGTTTAAGTATTGAATTGATGTGACCAAGCTTTAGTGAAGAGTGACATTTCTCCATTTTTTACGATAGAGAATTATTTAAGATAAAAACTACTCTAAACTTCTTATTTTGAGAATGATTTTTAAAAAAGAAATCTAAATGTCTGATAAAAACCTAAAGATTTTAAATAATTTATATACATTTATATTCCTTTTAGGTGATGGAAGGAAGTACTAAGTTGACATTATATGGCCTAGGATGGAAAGAAAAACTGTCAGATCCCACTGACCAGCACACCACTAAACCTGACACCAGAATGAAACTCACCATTAGGGGACCAGGTTAATATTATTTTTTTATTCTTAATATATTTCTTTGGTTAAAAACAATAGCTAAACATAAAAAAATCAAGTAATCCCACAATAGCCAGTTGTTGGAGTAGTGGCTATGTGGTTAGTATTATGCACTGGCCACTTTAGATTTATGGATTACTTTAGATAATTTTATAACCATATAATAACTGAAACTTATGTTGCTTCAAAAAATCACTAAGAATAGCACCCCTGCCTTTTACTCCACAGCTTAATGTCTTAAGAGGCTCTTCATTCTCCCGACCGAACCCAACTGTCATACGGGTGGAGATGGAGAGGGAAAATTCTAAATATGTTTTTAATCCTTTTCATTTAATTTTTATAAACAAACTGATTACAGATTTTTATTTTAGTTGGCAGTATTTTAGGATAATCAATCAGAATTTTAGATATAAAGTATGCAGTATTTTAGATTCTCTATTACTTTTTTCTCCAAAAATTATCCCAATACGATTTTGCAATCAACAGTTTTTGAAAAATATTTAATTAGTTATTAGTTTTTAGAGTTTTGATAAGTATCTTTGTTTTTATGACATTATCTTTAAAGCGTCATCCAAATCACTTTTCATTGGTTTAAACTCTAATAAGATTAAATTTTAAAAACTGAAAAACATGTAGCTTTAAATCACTTACTCAAAACCACAAATCACATCATTTTGATTGCTTTAAATTTTTAAGAAAAAATTCATAAATGTTCTAAAAATTATCAAACGCTATTTCTCCTAACTAATTAAGCGACCCCTATATTTCCTATCATTTTTGAAAGTTATTGTTCTGTTTAATAATACTATATAATGAATAGTTTGTTAAATATTAAGAAAATAACAGAAAATACAAATTAGATGTTTAACTTGGAATCCAAGATAAGGAAGGTAGAGAACTCTTAAACCACTGTAACAACATCCATTAATAAAGGTATAAAGATGCAAACATCTTTCTTCATTCTTTTTTTTTTTATTTAAAAATGTTATTTTTAAATGTACTTATACTTTTTTTTTTTTTTTTTTAAAAAAAAAAAATTTGTTCTTTAAAAAAGTACTTTGAGAATAAGNTTTTTTTTTTAATTTTTATTTTCATTAATACTTAAAAATATGATTTTAAAAAGAAACAGTTACAACATACACATGAAAATTAATTATCATTTGATGATTGATGAATGTTGCTCATTATCATTGGGCAATAATTTAATATTGCATTCAATTATGAGGTTCTATTCTTTTTATTAAATCTAAATAATCTAGCTCTTAAGTGCTCCTTCAGCTTGCTGAATAATGTTAAAACATTCAATATTACCACCCTTGTCACAAAATTTTAGAGACCCCTAGTTTAAAGGTATGCAGCTGATAAGAACTAATATCAACTAATAAACAACTATCATAAAATATTATTCATTATACTAGATTTAGGAAAATATAAACTGAATTTATTTTCTTAAGGTTTCATTATCTAAATGAATTCTAAACTCAGTGGCATGACAGCCAAAGAAAGATCAAGCCTATTATGTTCATCCAAGTTTTCTTGACCTTGGGCTCTGGGATGCAGGAGCAGATGCTCCAGTTGCGTATTCAGCAGAATGTGGAACCTATTTAATTCAAGCATGCTTGGTACTTATTTTATCAACCCACTGAATTCAATAAATTTAATATAGAAAAGAAAATTACAATATAGAAAAGAATTAAAAACATTAATGCAAAAATTAATAAAATTAAAAATAATAAAAATAAAACATCCAAATGGAAAAAATGCACTTAGCAGCAGAGGAACCAAGAGGAATTAAACAAATGAGACGATGAAGAAAAATTATTAAAAAAATTGAAAAAATATGACAATCAAAGCTTACCTCATCAGGGGGTACCAGCTTTGAATTTTCATAAAATGCAAATCTTTTTCTATCAAGAAAGCAAGACAAAAGTCAAAAATTCGCTTTCTCTGTACCCCAAAAGTTTTGCCCATGTCCAGGAATACATAAAATACAAGAAAATGTTATACAATATGATTTAAATTACAGAAGCATAAAACAGTAGAATAAAAACAAGACAAATATAGAAGGAAAGTAAGAAAGAAAAATTTACTAGTATAATACAAAATATCATACTATTAAAAATACAGAAGCATAAACATTCATTAGAATAAAACAAGACAATTGCATTAGGAAAGTAAGAAAGAAACTTACTTGGAATAGCAAGAATTCAAAAACTAAACAACTCACACGGCTGCAAGACACAAATGAGATAAACTAAAATATAGTTTTATGACGTCACTACCTTCTTAACAACTGTCCTTTTTCTATAAGAAGAGAGAGAAAAAAGAGAAGCCGCGCAGATTTGGGGGAGTCGTTTTCATATTTTAGTTTATCTCATTTGTGTCTTGAAGTCATGTGAGTTGTTTAGTTATTAAATTCTTGTTATTCCAAATAAGTTTCTTTCTTACTTTCCTACTGTAATTGTCTTGTTTTATTCTAATGAATGTTTATGCTTCTGTATTTTTAATAGTATGTTATTTTGTATTATACTAGTAAATTTTTCTTTCTTACTTTCCTTCTATATTTGTCTTGTTTTTATTCTACTGCTTTATGCTTCTGTAATTTAAATCGTATTGTATAACAAATTATGCTACTTTTCCTTGTGATTATATATTCTTGGGCACTGGCAAAACTTTTGGGGTACAGAGAAAGCGAATTTTTGTCTTGCTTTCTTGATAGAAAAAGTTTTGCATTTTATGACAATTCAAAGCTGGTACCTCAGCTGATGACGTCAGCTTTGATTGTCATATTTTTTTCAATGTTTTTTCAATTTTTTTACTAATTTTTCTTCATTGTCTCATTTGTTATATAAATGTAACTCACCCTTTTTATTATTTTATCATAAAAATTCTGGAAAAGCTCTAAAAATTATCTTCCTGTTCTAAATTTACTTTAATAAGTGTTTATATTTAATGTATTTTTTCAATTAATGTTTATTTAACAAAGAAAATTCTCCTTAATTTTTTTAAAATCTCTTTTTCTTCTTTAATTTAGAGCCTGCATATCCATTAACTGCTCTGTGCATGGTACAAGCTGGTTTGACAATACTCCAAGACCAAGATAAACTACCTTTAGAGTAAGTCAACACATCACTATAAATTATTGATCTAGAGTACTGAGCTGATAAAAAAAGGAAAATATTTTATTTTTGTTGTAAAGGAAAATTATTTGTTTTTTTGTATTTTTTATTAATAAATTTTATTAATGCTACCAAGAACTATTTTAAAATTATGTTTTGAACCTATAATTAACTCACCTTAAATTTTTTTTAAAAAAAAGAAATCTAATGTTATTAATCTTTATTTTAACAAGTAGTCATAAGTAACATTTTCTTTACGGGTTTGAAAAGACAATTTCATATCTTTTCAGGAGTTCATCTACTATTCTGATTTAAAAACTAAAACCATTCATGCTGAATTAAAAAAAATTTGAAATTATGTAAAAAGCTTAGGGCTATAGTGATTTAGAAATTAATACATGAACTGTTTTGTAATCATTCCAGTTAAGTGCTGCTCCAAACTGTTTCAGTTCACTCTGGTTTTTCCAACCCACTCTAAAACAGGCCTTTTTTTTTTCACCAGCATCCCAAATGCTCCTGTGAATATTCCAAATTGCTTCGATCTACTCAGTACTTTCCCTCCTGCACCAAGACAGGCATTTTTTTTTTCTCTGTCAGTCTATTTATTAGCAATTGTTCACATTTCTCTGAGTGATTTAAGCTGTTTCAATCTTTTGTTTTACTAACCTATTCCAAAACTGGCCGTTTTTTCCACTCGCACTTTCCCAAATGTTCATATTCCTGTGAGTGCTCCAAACCACTTTGATCTATTTTGTTTTATCCCACTTGCTTCAACACCACATTTTTTTCCCCCTCTGGCATTCTTGCCAGAGGGAGAAAAAAAATTTCATATGTTTCTAATAATTCTTCAGTAAATGTTCATATATTTCTTTTCTGTGTACTGTAATTACAAAAGAAACACTGATTGGTTCTGCAAGGAAACAAGAGAGCTATCAAAAGGTTGAGCTTATATTTGTAGTTTAACTACTTTATATTACATGTTTGACACAATAAAGCACTGTGCTCAATTGCGTGTGTTCATATGAGTTGAAATTAACCTAATTTCTGAAATGCAAATTCTACTGATGTTTTTACGTTTTTACAGAATTTTGAAAATATAAAAGCTATGTTTAATTTCTGGTGAAATGTCTACTTTAAGTACTTATTGTGAGACAGTGAAAGCTGTGATTGTTAAAAAGGATTAGTCGCAAGCAAACGTAGAAAAATTTAATTATCTTTTACTCAAAGGTTACCTTTTACATAGGGTTAGTTTTTGCTTTACTTACCAATTAACCGTTTCTTTTTTACATTTATGAAATTGTAGTTTTTTAGTTGAACATTGTCTTTAGCTGAAACTCTTACTTAAGCTAGTCAATAACTGTACTTTGTTTTTATTTCTTTTATTTTTTAGAGGAGGTGTTCTCACTCCTGGTGTAGCTTTTGCTAACACTTCTCTCAAACAAAGATTAGAAAACCGTGGAATGACTTTTGAATTTGAAACTCTTAACTGAAACTTCTGATGAAAAGAATGAAGCTTATGAATACTGTGATTAATATGTTGTTACTACTAAGATTTATAATTATTGCTTAACAGGTTAATGAGCACATACTATGATATTTTTTTATAAAAGATTAAGCTTTGAAATGTCAATAGTAACTTTTAAAAACTAATTATTTATGTTAAAAATGTCAGGCATGTAAATGTTTCTATATCTTTTGCTCTAATTGCCTAATATTATATCTGTAGTATTTGCCTTATGCATTTGTTATTAAGACGAAAATGAAGATGAATTTGCTCATCATCATTTTTAAATGCTTCTTATAATATTTTACTTCAAGTGTTAATTTTTTTTAATATTATAAGAGTGTTAAAAAAATTTCCACAGTAAAATATATTCGGTCATATATATATTGTTTATCTATCTGTTTGAAAAAACAAGAGCTTCTTTTCAAAAAATTTTATGTTATATTGTCAATTTTATTATTTTTTTATATCATGTTGTATCTTATTTTTATGTTACTTTTTATAAATTTTTATTAAATAGTATGAGTTTAAATAATGATTTTGTCTTAAAATTTTTTTCTATTTCTTTTAGTTCAAAAATATTTGTTGTTTTTTTATATGTTAGAAAGTAATATATATATACACACACACAGTTGGACCCCGATTTAACGAATTCATCGGGACCGGAAATTTTATTCGTTAAATCAGGGTTCAAAAATAATAATTTTTTTTACATATGTATTCTTAAAAATTACTAGTAATAAACGACTATCTAAATATAATCTATAAATCATGAACTTTTATTCATCAGATGAAAATATTATTACAAACATTGGTTTTATTTTGACAAAAAACTGAGTTATGGAAGTTTGATGACTGTCCTGATCTTTTACCCGAAAAAGTTCCTTTTCAACTTTATGAAGATTATCAAAAACTTTTATCTTTCACTTCCTGCTGCATAAGGTATGTTTTAACAGTTCCTAAGCTACTTAAGGCTTGAGAAAATGGGACAATTTTAACAGGAGCATCGTTTTCATCCGAATCACTGTTCATAGTTTCGGACGAGTCAACACTTTCGGTAACTTCAGTTGCACAAACAGCCAATCCATCATCACATGTAACGTAATCATTGAAGTCTATCCCAGGAGCAACTTCTTCTGAAATGGGGACATCAACGTCAACTTCACCACTTTCTACTTGAGAGCCAAAAAATCCCGCATTCCGAAAACACTTTTCTATCGTACTCTTAGAAACTTGATCCCAAGATTGTCGCACTAGACAGAGTGCATCCAAAACATTGAGCCTGTACTTTTTATCCGCACTTTCATCTAAAGATTCTGTTATCTTTCTCATGAGTAACTTTCTGTAATTAACTTTAACAGATCGAATAATGCCAAAGTCTAGTGGTTGCAGAACACTCGTGCAATTCGCTGGGAAGAACAGCACCTTGACGTTAGTTAAGCGGGAAACTAGAGCAGGACATCGATCGAAAAACAAAATAATTTTTTTCTTCTGCATCCTCGTAGATTTGTCAAGGGTCCTCTAAAAATCTGTGAATAGAGAAGAAGTCATCCACGACTTTTTGTTAGCTGCATAAGTGGTGGGTGAACTCTTCACGTTTTTGAAGCAACACGGTTTTGCCGATCTGCCAATGACTAGTGATTTTAACTTGTCAGTTCCATCTGCATTCGCTGTAAGCAAAACAGTTACTCTTATTTTGCTTTTCTTTCCTCCAAAGCATTTTTTATTTTTATAGCAAAGCGTCTTGTCTGGTTGTAAATCATAAAACAGTACAGTTTCGTCTGCATTGTAGATGTCTGATGGATCCTTCAATCAACTTTTGCTGCTTTTCTTCCCATTCCATAACAACATTTTCGTCCACATCTGCCTTTTCGCCGCATATCATCTGACATAAATTATGTCGGTTCTTAAATCGGTCAATCCAACCATTAGATACAGTAAAGTTCGTCACTCCATGCTTCTTTGCTAATTGAAAAGCCTTTTCTTTCATTAAAGAACAGCTGACAGCAATATTCTTGGACCGAACGATATTAAACCATTCTACCAGTTCTGATTCAAGAGCAGTAAGAGGGGTATCTTTCAATGATTTTCGACGATTTCCCCCCGACTTCAACAGATCCTTTTTCGATTTCTTTGCGCTGTTTCGCAATTTTTGCTAATGTCGACACTGAGATCCCAAGATGCTCTGCTAAAGCATTTTATGGTCCAACGTTATTATCAAATTCTCTTAAAATTGCCATCTTTTCACTTAACGTAAAGCGTTTTCGTTTTCTACTGGCATCCGCCATAATGGACGAGGATTTGAAAATTCTAATCGTCCAGAATCTGCCAAAATTAATGAAAAATATTTTTTCCGGATGCTGAAATAATTCGGTAATTTCCTAGGGGTTTTTAGAGTCTGACTGTATATATATATTCTGAAATGTGAGTGACTGATAACAAACAAGCAGTCTAACTATTAAAAAACAACCTTAATTGTATTTGCACCAATATAATGAATGTAAAAATATAACTTAATATTTTAAAATGTTTGGATTACGCATGAAAAAATTTTAAAAGTGTATTAAACATATTGATTAAGGCATTATAGAATATGCTGATAAGTAATTCTGTTTCTTAAAAATTGTTTTAGTAATTTTTATTTTAAAATATTTCTAAAAAATACCATGTTTGCTAATATATAGACGGTGATATTGTCTGATTTCTATTTCTGGATGTTTTTTCCACTCTTTAATTCTCTCTTACTTTAATACTTCTATACTAATAATAAATTATACTATCTTATATCTACAAAGTTTTCGGAATTAATATTTTTAAATTGTGTTTCTTGTTAACAATTATGAATTAATTATATTAAAACTTGGATTTGCACAAAACATATTTTTGTAATGATTCAAATTGTGAATATCGAAAAGAAATGATATATTTAATCATAAAAAAAAAAATTATTACTATATTTTATTATTTAAACAATAGTATCTCAAATAAAATGTTTTTTGGAATACATATTTGTTTTATTCTTGAAATCTTTTCTATTTAAAATTCTTGTGAAATCAACCACTTTCAATAGTTTTAAAATCTTAGTGTACACTTTTAGTTCAAATGAATCGATTTTTATTCATTTTTAATTACTATCTCATTCATCATTTTTCATCACAAGAAATTTTATTATATACATTTTTATTTGTTATAACAAACAAACAATCTTTTTAAATTGATTAAATATGATTATAATGCAATGCCTGTGAGTTTACAAAATCACTGATCAGTGGAATTATATCCTCTTATTGTCATTATATTTTAAAGAATGAAATATTTAATATCACGATGTTGAAATTTTTTGGTCATCAGACTCGCAATCAGTAATTATCTGAATAAAAACTATTTGGTCATTCAATGAAATTTATTGAAAGAGATAGTGCATGTCGAGGCTGTTAATTGTGACAGCTAGGAAACCATGGAACTGCGGGGTAGAAGCATTGAAGTTTAGGTCAAAGGCCGAAGGTAGGAACATCAAACAGTATTTTTTTTTAATATACTTAGCAAATTAAGTTCTAACTGTTGATTTCTGCTTATTTTTAAATTCATTTCAGTTAATTTTTGGATAAAATGTTAACATTATAATTGTCTTTAGTTGAACTGCTTATATTATTTAAAATTTATCTTGCCAAAATTTGGAAAAGTTTTTAATTTTTATGCATATTAAATTGATTATGTATTATTGATAATATATATAAATTATAATATGATTAATTTATTATTTTTATATATTATTGATATTTAATATATATTACATTTTAGTACATTCAATTATATTTTTAGGGAAGAAATCTTATATCTGGTCTATTATAATCTTATATTTTTAGGGAAGAAATCTTACACAGTTTAATAAATCTCTCAGGAGTTTCATTTTTTTAACTATTCATTTTTTCAATCTTAGAAACTTCAATTTTGCAGCCATTAAAATGGCAAAATTTTGTAAATTCATCTAAGTAATGATTTTATTTTTATATTTTTCTTTTAGAGCCTGCATATGCACTTACGGCTAAATGCATGGTAAATGCTGGTTTGACTATACTTCTTGAAAAAGATAAACTACCTTTAGAGTAAGTTATCAAGTCAATAGAGTGTAATTCTTTGATGTATTAGAAAGACATTTTAGTGATATGTGCTGTTAAAATATTGCACATAAAAGTTTTTAATTCATTTTTATTTTACTGTTAATCACTGAATGTTATGATTATTAGGAGGTAAAATTAATCTCTGGTACTCTATTATGTTGATGCATTCTGTTTGACAGTTGATTAAGATTTTGATTGATTGAATTTTTTTGTTAAATCATAATTTAATCTATTCTTTAAAATACATTTTTAAATTATAATTTTTATTTCGATATTAAATTTCTTTGAACTTTAAAAAGAACCATTTTTAACGATTGTTATATCCATAACTCAAGTTACACTTAATTATAAGCATAGTGTAAAATATGTATTTTAAAAAATTAAGTATTTTCCTTTTCACCTTGCATTGCAGTAACATATTTGCCAGCTTGTAGTGTGTTGGAATAGACTTAACAAAATGATTATACAATAAAAATTATCGAAAGAATATTCTTAAAATTGAGCTACTTTCCATATATTTTAAAGCATAACTGCCTAAGTAATATAGATATATTTGAATTATTGATTAGTCACAATATTTTCACTTTGAAAACCGGGAATTTTGATATTTAAAAACAAATATTGTCACCACTGAAAAAAATATACCTAATGCATGTTTGTAAATATGCATTAAAAATGTGGAGTAGGGTAAACCATCTTCATGTGAAAATTTAGTTTCAAAGCTAAAACCATTTTCAAAACGTTAACTTTGAAAGACCAAACGAAAAATCTCATTACAGCATTGAATTCAGATTTTAAAAAAATTTTGAGAAATATACCTGTTTGTTTCATATTATGGAGAAAAAGTATTTTGGGCTCAGTTTAATTCTAATTCTGCAGGTTTACTAGTTAGTCGTGTTAACACATTATAATTCTTTCCGTGTAATTTAAATCAATGCTAATTGCTTTTCTTTCTATATATTTTCAGAGGTGGTGTTCTTTCTCCTGGTGTAGCATTTGCTAAAACTTCTCTTGAAGAAAGATTGAAAAAACGAGGAATGACTTTTGAATTTGAAAACATCAATTAAAGTTAATTATTAGTGGCCGATAAACTTTGTCAACAATATGCATGTTATTCATTTGTATTCTTCTAAATAAAAATATTTGCCAGTAATAGTATTATAAATGTGGCCCTACTAAATGAGCAGGAGCATATATTCAAATTTAAATGCAGAAAATTGTTCAAATGTATAGCCATTTAAGGCTATAATACCTTAGAATGTATTTTATAGCTTCTTATGTTAGAACTCAGAGAATTTGCATAATTTTATTCAAAATATACTTCAGAAACACATAAAGCATTTATTTAGCCATTTGTGACAATTCTAAGGATGCTTCGGGAACTGAATCTACATTAAACTAAATGGGAAAAAATCAATCTTAATTATCGATAGTACAGTAATCTAGTATTTATGGCTGAATGCTGGAAGAATTATTTCGTTATTTATATGACATCCATATAATGTCATTTAAAAGATAGTTTATTGATGTTCATGTCTAAAAATAGCCAAGATTACTTCTGATATTATCCTTTAAAATATAATCAATGCAAAATAATATTCTCCAATATACTAAAAAATATTTTAAATTGCTTATTGATATTAGCATTTACATTCTATTTCCGAAATTTTTATACTAATTCAACTAGGCATACTATGTTACTTGACTGGCACTTCTGTCCCTCTTCAATATTATTTAAAAAATGTAAAAGATAATTTCCATACAAAACAAGTTATTTTGTGATTATTTTTTACCAAATGGTGAAAAAGTAAATTTTTTCTGAATATGTATATGCAATTTTTTATGTACTTAATTTTTATATGTTTTGCCTATTAAACTGTGAAAGTTATGATTTTTTAAATGAAAAATGAGCTTACAATTTTGACTGTGTTATTTGTTAAATAAAAACATTTTTTTTTTTTATTGTTGTATAATGTGTTTTATCAATTTTAGCCTTGTTTATATTCTTTTTTTTTCAATTAATATTCTAATTTTAAAAAGAAATGAGCTTATAATATTGATTTATCTTGTTTGGTAAATATTGAAACTTTTTTTAATCTTTATTGCTTCATTAATATGTTTTACAGAAATTAAAACATGTTTATTTTGATTTTATTTTTTTAAATGAACTTATAAATGATGTGATTTTTGCTAAATACTGAAACTAGAAATTACATTTATTTTTTACTATTATTAGACTGTTATAAAAATGTTTAGATTTTTATATGCTTAAAAATAATGTAATGGAGGAGCATGTGAAATGTGTTGAATATATGAAATTTAATCTTGCAATGTGTTCTCTCACTTTAAGAAGGCAGATTTTAAAGTGGGATGGTTTCTCGAAACTGAAGGGGAAAATATAACAATTATGTGCTACAAAGATAAACTGCACCTCTTTAAGTATTAGTTTAATGTTCAATATTTGGATTAAAATTCTTTATATCATATGTATTTTGAATAAACAGTATTAAAATTTTAATTACGTTAAAAAGTTTGCAATTTTAATAGCTATTTGCTTTAATTAATAAATAATCTTAAACTTTAGTTTATATGCTTATGATGTGTACAATATTGAATTTTTATTTCTAAATGTTTATTCTCTTTTCAAAATATTCCATTATATTTACTTAATGTTGATGTTTGATTCATTATAATTTTTTATTAATGCTTGGTTGCCTGTGATTAATGCTTACTAAATGTTGCATATTGTGGTATATTATGAATGTTTTAAATCTGGAACTATTTTTTACTTTTTATTCTTACGCTTTTTTGTACTTTGTTGACACCATGACTTTTTAAAATATATATTTGCAGGAAATATATTTTTTATTGTGTATCAGATTGTAAAACCAAAAAATAAAACCTGTTACAATTGTTTGCTACTATATTTTCTTAGAGCAAAGTATATTTTGCTTCAAATAAAATCTCTTGTCGAAATCATATTTGTTTTAGTTTCCACTTCTTTACCTCAATATTGAATTCTCTCTCATATCAGTTAGTCTTTTATATTATTGATTGTATTATCTCATTAATTGATATTTAATTTTTGGACAATTTTTTTAATTTTAATGAAAGTTAACTTAATACAATTGTTATTTTTAGCTATTTTATTGCATGCATTGCTTAAAAAGTTGCCAGACATGTGCTTCAACATCTATTAATATTTAAAGTCTGTTTTCATTGCAATATAAACCAAAAGAAACAATTAGAGACTTTAAAATTTGAACTTAGAAGAGACATGTTATTCCTACATTTCATAAACATTAACCAGAGAAATTTGTCTGTTATTGAATTTCGTCAAATTTAATTTTTTCAGTAAAGGTCTACAGAAATAACTTTTAACATTTCTTCATAACTGTTTATTTTTTTATATTATTTAAAAAATAATTTTTTTGTTATTAGGAAGAACCAAACTACTAATTGGAAACTTTATTTTAATAAAAAAATGAATTTAAAAATTTATATGATAATTATAAAAGACTAAATGTGAAAATTCCTAACAATAGTTTATAGATTGAATGATTTAAATTTTATCTATATAAACTGAATTATTTTTATGGAAAGCAATGAAAAAATTCCAAAATCTCAACAGAAAAATTAATTATAGTCTTAGTTTAAATTTTTAAAAATATTTAATAAAGCTTGAATAATAATAGAACTCGTATTTTAACAATTTATTTACATATGTTTTTTTTTTTTTTTTTTTTTTTTTTAATTTGGTTGTCTCTATTTTCAATAAAGATTAATTACGTAATTCTATAAATTCTTTCTTACTTTAATTTTTTTTTTTAAATACTTTTAAACCAAAATACCATCAAAATATATTTCATCAAGTTAAAATTTCTTTTTCTTCAACGCTGCTATCTAATAGCATCTTATAACACTAAAGGTTAGTATACTGTGTCAATTAACAAAATGTAGGCTTATTTCAACTTCATTAAATTTATTTTGAGTATTTCAATTCAAACTATGTTAGAGGAAGAAAAAAAATTACCTATACAACACTGTGAATGGAGTATGTCTAGTCAACATATCCTAATTGAAAAGTGCCAAGATTATAGATTCTTGCTACTAGTTGCTTCTTTGAAAGACTGGACACTTTGAAATCATTAACGTCGAGTCTGATATAAGACATCATGCAGAAAATAACAAAATAGTTGACCCTACAAAAATGCTTTTTAAAACAATTTTGGTGAATTGCTTAAGTGATAAATAAAAAATACTGAAAACTATATATATATATAATACAATATCAAGCTGCAATGTCTTAAGAATAGCACTTTAACTTATAGAAAAAAATTTATTCACTTTTTTTTCACCTAATAGCTTCCTCCCAAGTTTGCAATTGTCGCATTGCGTTTTTTTTTAAAGGAAAAAAAAGAAAAAACTTTTTACTTTCTAACGCCTTAGTACCAAGAAAGAGTTGAAGCAGGGCCCGGGGCAAAAGCAAAAACTTCTTTGGGTCCCCCCTCTGCTTCAGTAATGAAGAACCGAACTTAATGGAAGTATTTAAATTTTTCACCTCATAATAGATAATGTATGTAAATGTATTACAATTTTCGCATTGATAAATTATATCCCCATTTTTCTCATTTATTCCTTTTTTATAAAAACATTCTTGTGTGAACTATTTTTGATCATTTTAACTCCTTCCAATTTCTGCGTTCATATAAAATCTTCATTATCTTCAGTTCTAATTATTGCAAAAACAGAATAACAAACTGAAAATTTAAAAGTATACCTTAACTAAAATAGTTATTTTATTTTATAATGTAATAGTAATTGTTTCTTATATCAATATTATTTCATATAAAATTCGGTTTTCATATCAAATTTGCACTGATATTTTCTATAACTTTATTCAGAATTGTATCCAAAGTTGTTTTGAAAAGAACTTTGAAATCAATTTCTGCAAAGACTTACTACGAATATGTTGTCGCGAGCGACTGCCATGACATCTGTTACAAATGGTCCTGTCATTTCTTCCACACTAGCTAATAAATATAATTATCTTTTAATCTATATTTGTCATGGCTAAGTTAAGCTAATCATGTTGAGGTAACTCAACGTTTAAAAGTGGATTGGCAACCTATTTCCATACATAATAATTTGTTTTTTTAAATACGAAAATTAGCTTAACGTCATTGAAACCATAAACTGCTCTCGATTCATCCAAGCTTCAACTTTTCTTTATTTTATTTTATTTTTCGTCGAATCTTTCAGCATTATAAGTTAAAACCTAAAACATTTTTTTGTCTTTTTATTTTATTATTATTATTATATATAGCTCTTTAATGTTATGCTGCATTACCCATCGTTTATACAGTGCTTTAAAAAAAATACAATACTTCTATCCTGTAGCATCAGCAGTTATATTTCATCAAAAGAAAAAATACAAATGTACCACAAAAAGACTGTTTTTAGTTAATATTTATTACTGTTTTACTTATGATACCAAAAAACCCTGTGATAGAATTTTTTCGGGCTTTCTACGACAAAACTCTCTAGTATTAATATCTTTCTGCAAGATACTTTTAATGATAACTAATATATATGTTACTATTTTAAAGTAAAAGAATTGCTGTGTTTCAATAAAACTATATAACTTTTAATGTAATATTTTTTATTTTAATAGATGAGCGATATTCTCGCATTTTGTTGGGAGAAAAACACATTAATTATTTTCTNATCGTGAAAATTTTCACGATTTTTCAGATTACTTCTACGCTTAAGCGTAGAAGTAACTGCCGAAATAAAGATCGATCGACGACGGTGTTACTCAAATGCGTGTTTCGTTTCAAAATTCCGCTGTTGTAAATAATGTCGTATTAAAAAGTATCGGATTTAAAAAAACTATGTCAAAATCAATAAATATAATAACTGCTAAAAAATCGATAATCATTGGGTTAAAAAGTAAATACTCAAACCCGTGACTCGAATTTCTCATATTGTCTGAAATATATTGGGACATTGAAGAATCATGCGAAAATCAATACCGGTAATTGCCGAAAGTACAATCGGAAGTGGATTTACTATACTATCGGCTGAAATTGAGCTACTCAAAAAGTGATTATTTGAATGGGCGATTCAAATTTTACGTCTACTAACTGAGAGGAATTTTAAAAACCACGGGGCTTATGAGCATCAACTGCAGAAAAGTTTGAAGAAAAAAGATGAAATATTTATATTAAAAGTTAATAAGTGCAATAAAATTGTATAAAAAAACATGTGAAAATTCGTAGCAATAATTATCGAAAAAAACGATTGGAACACCACATGGATTAGTGATGATATCGGCAAAAACCGAGTTTTTCAAGAGTGATTTCTTGAATCCGCGATTCAAACTTCACGTGCTATAAAAATATCGATAATTTTTTTCTTCAAAAAAATAAGAATATCAATTAACAACTAGGCTGTAAAAAAAATCGATATTCCAAAAATAATAATATTAAATAAATAAAAAAATATTCTTAACAATCGAAAAAAATGCAGCGCCCTCTATAAAAAAAAGAGAGAAAAAAAAGAGCCTTGGCTACATGAAATGAAACTAAGCACCCGGAAACGTATTGAAACAAAACCAAACCGTAAACAAAACCAAGATAAAAAAGGAATAAAGGTTGTAACCGGTATAGAAAGTTTTCTTTTACATGACAGGCATTTTCTGACTTTCCTTTCGCTGTGCTTCAAATTCATCAAAAATGTCTGAAAATAAAAATAGAGAATTTGATATTATAATTTTCGGTGCTACTGGATACACTGGCCGATATGTAATAGAAGAATTGGCTCATTCTTCTAAGTCAATTGACATTAAATGGGCTATTGCTGGCAGGAATAAGGAAAAATTAAAAGAATCATTGAATATTGTTCAAGAATATCTTGGACAAGGTAAAATATATAAAAAGTTTCTATATGCTTTTGTGTGAGCTTCGTGTTTCTATTAAAATTTTAATTCTAAAAATATTGTGAAGAATTTATTTATAAGTTTTAAATTTGTTTTAATAATAGAGAATGATTCTTTACGTTATCAAATTGCTGTATGATTTTTGTAATGTTAATTCCTAAATAACCTCATTTAAACCTAAAAAAGTAAAATATCTACCAAAGCTCGTTTTACTGTGATTTTTTTTTATTTATCAATTTTCACTTTACTTGAATTTAAAATTTGTTTAAACTGGTTTAGAAAATTTATTTGTACTTTATACTTGAAAGTAATAGCTTTTGAGAGTCATGCTTGAAAATAAAACACATTGAAGGTAAAGGTTAAAAGCATTTAATAATATTCAAGTAATTTCTTGAAAAACATTTAAACTCATCTTTGAATTACTTTAATGCATATAAAGACATATATAATACTTTAATTCTATTTTTCAGAGGTTAATACTTTAAAATGCAGATTTTTAAAAATTGTTAAACAAATTGTTATTGAAAAAATGAGCTACAAATTTGTGAACTATTAAAACTTGCACATATTAGTTAGTGTATACAAGCTTTATATGATAAAAAAGAATTTCATCAATTTTATTCTTTTTAGAGATTGACATTAGCAAGACTCCTATTATTGAGGCTAATGTTAAGAGTGGAACATCTTTATCAAATATGTGCGAAAGAGCTAAGTTGATACTTAATTGTGTTGGACCTGTAAGTAGCCTTTTCCTACCTTAATTTGGAACTAACTAACCTAACTTTATTCTTATTTCTAATGAAAAATGAGAAAACTAAATTGAAAGAATACCCCAAAGAACAAAATGTCAAGATTTTCTTTCTTTCACTTGATTGCAGGCTTAACTGAAAGGAATTTACTCCATTTTTTTCCCCCTGTATCATTAAAATAAATTTAAACAACATANTTTTCCTACCTTAATTTGGAACTAACTAACCTAACTTTATTCTTATTTCTAATGAAAAATTAGGAAACTAAATTGAAAGAATACCCCAAAGAACAAAATGTCAAGATTTTCTTTCTTTCACTTGATTGCAGGCTTAACTGAAAGGAATTTACTCCATTTTTTTCCCCCTGTATCATTAAAATAAATTTAAACAACATAAAGTTTTTATGTATAATTTTTAAAGGACCTTTTATTTGCAAATTTTGTTGCTTATATGTTGGATTGAGCTGAATTTGTGCAATAATAATCTTTATCTGAAATTCATTCCTTAAATTCTGTTACTTGGTGTATCATTATAGATACACCAAGTACATTATAGATACACCCTTCCAAATTTGATAAAAAAGGTCAAATAAAAAGGTGAACACTTTTTTAATATGAACTGAAGAGGTTTTATGAATGAGTATATTAAAAAAAATGTTAGTTTTACTAAAATGTTACTAGATTCATTTAAAATGTTACTAAATTCAAGTTCTTTATTCATACTGAAAGTTTTTATTTATTAATTTAATTTTAAAAAATATTATTGTTCAATGATGTCTTTTCATTAAACAAAACAACAGTAACACCTTTTTAATTTGTTTTATTTTATTAAATAAATGCATATGTGATTCATAATTCAGCAAACATTATATATGACCTCTATTTCAAATATTTAATTGCAAACTATTTGAAATTAGCTTTGCCTACAACCATTACTTTTTGAAACATTTCAATTTGTAGAAAGTAGGCAATTCATTGAAGAATTTAATAGTATATTTATACATACTTATTTAATATCATTGAATTTATACTTGAATATGTAGATTTTAGTTTGTTTTTCTTTATATGACTTTGTTGTTATTTCTTTTAAATATTTTTACATCTAGCAACACATGTAAATTATGCATCAAATAATATATGTTTTGTGACTTATGTACTGAGAAATGTTTATGTTAGCCTAAGTATTCAAAATTTCTTAAGATATGTAATATATTTTATGCACATAATGTGCCTACATAATTAAAAAAAAAAATGTGAAAGTATAACAGGAATAGTTTGTTTTCAGTTTTTGTAAGTATAAAACTATTTTCTAATTATTTTTTTAATTAATCCTTTTTTTTTCCAGTACAAATTGTTTGGAGAACCTGTAATAAAAGCTTGTTTAGAAAATGGAACTCATCATGTTGATATTAGTGGAGAACTAAAGGTTTAGTCTTTTTTTTTTTTAAAATATTTATAATTTATTTAAAGTAAACATTGCCTTCATGTTTTGTTTACACCTTGACATATCCCTGAACCATAGAGCTTTTGTCCCTTTTCAACTCACAAATCCTAGTTTACTTGTTATCCATTGTTTGTGTAATCTAATTGTATTTGAGGCTTAATGCAAGACAAGCAATATCAGTATTCTAAAAAGTGGCTGCCAAATTTTTTTAATTTATTTAAAAATTATTGCAATAGCTGTTTTATGTTTATGTTATGGTACCAAAGTTGACCTAAGTTGTGAAAATAAGTTTTTAGCTGCTGAATGCACGTAGGTCTTTTCTCCATGCATTGATATTGGTTGTTCTTGTATGAAGTTACAGGTAATAATTATTATTGATAATTAAATTGATTATTGTTATCACTGAATTGCTGTTAAATACTCTTTTAGCAAAATACGAAATAGCAAAAATTTCAAAGTAACGACTATTTTCCGAATCCCAAATGCATTAAAAATTGAAATATTACGAAATAATAGATTATCTGATTTAACCAAGGTTAAATTAGGTTCAAATATTCTTTACACCTTGAAAATGATAAGTAAATGAGATAAATGATAAGGAATGATTTAAATGATAAAAGGAACTGTCGAAAGAAGATGAATCACTCAGAACAAAGCATCCTGAGAACCTGAATAGTATTTAAAAAAAACTAATGGGTTTTAAAAAAATAATAAAGGTTAAGAAGAGCAAAACTGAAATACTAAAGGAAAACACTCATTTAGTTTATTCTACAATTTCAGATTTTCTAGTTAGTGTACTAAGTTTTATTTTTTCCATGAAGAAGTGCAGTAATAGAATTTTATTTAAAGAAATAAAGCTTAATAAATAAAAATAAAGAACACTGCTTATAGAAAATAATAAAAATAAAAGAAAGGGAGAAATTTTACGTTAGTTGCTTATTAAAGATAAAATGAAAGGTTATAAGAAAGAAAAAAGCTAAAAGTAACTCAAAATAATTAGAGTAAGGAAGAAAAAAAAAACTAAATTTTTGAAAGAAAAAGCTCATGAGAAAGAAACAGGAAAAAAAATTAATTCTATGTTTCATTTATTTAATAACTATTCTTTTTGATCTAATCTTTTTAATATTTAATATACTCTTATTATTATTTTCATTTTTCTGCAATGTCCCAGTCATTATATGGTAATGAGTTTCCTTTAAAGGAACTTTAAATAGGCTCAAATACAAACCGTCATAAAAGAAAAGACTAATATTTTTATCCCTTTTTTGTTTTATTTGCATTGAGAGATTTTATTTAAATAATTTTCTCTGCAAGCTTTTTTTTTTTTTTTTTTTTTTTTTAATTTTTTTTTTAGTCATAATTTTTTTTCCTTCTTCCTTTCTTTTCTCTTTTTTATTTTATTTATTTATTTATTTTTTAACTTAGTATTAACTTTTGCTCCTTTTCTTTTTATACCACTAAGCAACTCCTTTTTAAGCACTCTCACTGTTATTCAAAATATATTTAAACTTGATTTGAATCAAATTCATTCAAATTAATTGTAGAAACTTTACAAATACAGGCAGAAAAGAAGAAAACAAATATTTTTTTAGTCATAATTTCTTTTTCCTTCCTTTCTTTTCTCTTTTTTATTTTATTTTATTTATTTTTTAACTTAGTATTAACTTTTGCTCCTTTTCTTTTTATACCACCAAGCAACTCCTTTTTAAACACTCTCACTGTTATTCAAAATATATTTAAACTTGATTTGAATCAAATTAATTGTAGAAACTTTACAAATACAGTTAGGAAAGAAAAAGAAAAAAAAATATTTTTCTGAATCCTCAAATTTATGTAAGCTTTACATGTAAGCTTTTATTTTTAATCTTTCAAAATGAAAATGATGAAAAAATTTTTTTCTTCTCTAGAGAAATTATTTACTGTAAGCAGATGAGAAACTTTTCTGGATTGTCCTAAAAGTTTTAAAATTTCACATTAAAAAATACATAATCTGCTAAAATATATATCATGTTAACTTTAACTTTATCAAAAGAGTTAACTCCATTTTGAGTTATAGAAATATATATGTTTTCCAAAAACGCCAACTAATTTTTTTGTTTTAAAGATTTTTAATTTTTTTAACATTTACTAAAAGTTCCAATTAAATAACTTACCAAAAATCCAGTTTTTACTTTTAAGGGAAACCATTTTGATTTTCAAACATTCTAATTGTTTTTCTGTTAATATTTCTGCACATTATTTTTTTCCAAACTTCTAAGAAGTTCAGTTATTTAGCTTTCTAGCTGGTTGAATTCCAAATAGATAGGTTATTTTTAGGTAAAATTATTTTTTTAATTGCATAATGCTTTTTTTTTTCCTTTTATCAATATAAAGAAAATATTTTTAGTGGCAATATTTAAAAACTTGAAAAAATATCTTTTCAACAAAACAAATCAATATGTTTTTGTATTAAAAGGAGCAATTTCTTTCTTCCTAAAAATAATGGGAAAAATTCATGTACTGATACCAAACTGAGCAAAATAAGAAAGAAAAAAAAAAAACTTTCAAGTGTTGACTTCAAACTTATTTCAAGATACAACCAGTTTACTTTCCTAGACAGAAACTCTGCTTTGTCTCATGTTATTCTATGGAGATCTCTAAGAAAGGAAACTTTTCTACAAATTTGTTCTATCAGAAAATCAGTTCAAGTGGAACAGGTATCACCATCCAGTGGAAAAAAATATAAAAATTTAAGCAAAACATATAAGGCATTTGATAAAAGATGGGACTATAAAAAATTATTTACTCAAACATTGCTCTTTTAGTATATGAAAAGACTTCTAGAGATCATGGTCAAATTGCTGATTTACATTTTCGAATGATTGTTGGAGGCAAAAAACACTATTCTGTGCTTTGATTCCAATTTGAAGGTTATAAGAACTACATTAAAAACCAAGAGCGTTGATGCTCTTCAAAAACTAACATTGTTAACTCATACATTTAATGCTTGTTTGAAAAATATATATTTTTATGGAATATTATGTTTGTTCAATGCGTAGAAATTAAGTTGCTTGAAACTAATAAGATTTCTTTTTAACTTGTTGAACTCGTATGAACTTATAAAGGAACTTATAAGAAATTTTTTTATAGTTTTTAGAAGGAACTCAGATCAAGTATTTTGATGTTGCACGTGAGAAAAATGTTTATATTGTTGAAGCTTGTGGATTTGACAGCATCCCTGGGGACTATGGACTGACTCTTTTGAAAAAACATTTTCCCGGTAAGATAAAAAGCCTTTTTTTAATTTTGCAATTCTGTAAAATATTTATTCTTCAATCGATTAAATAATTTTAATGACAGTTTAAAATCTATGGTTTACTTTTTGTTGTAACTTTGAATGACTTATTAAATAAAAAGTAATTATGTAAGAAATTCTTTTGATAATTTTGCTTTAGAGGTCCACAAACTCCTGAATATATAATAGCTCTCAAATTATTCTCTCCTTTCAATTTTATTTATATAATTGACTCTGAATTATACTGAGTATAACATGATCCAGTAAATGCTGATGAGTCAAAAATGTCACTTGTATATGTCTCTAACATTTATAAATTTGATGTTTCTTAATAGCATTTTGTCATAGTAAACAATAAAAATAAATAAAATAGACCAAAATAAAATTACCAAAAATATAAGAGAAAAAAAACCTTCTATATTATATGGTCAAAATATTGCAAAATTGAAATGCATTGCAGAAATTACTGTGGATCAGATTCTTGTGCAGTTTCACATAGATAAAATGTTATAATACAAACATTTCTATTATGAAGAAGTTACTAATATTTTTCTAAAATTGTATTTATTGTTTTACTCACATGGATGCAAGGTTAAGCCATTTTTTGCAAATTATAATAGAAAGATGTGATAATTAATGCTATTTTCAGTTTTTAACATAATGTTTTAATCTGTTTCAGGTGATTTGAACTCTGTTGAATATTATATCAGTGTTGGAGTAGGGCCTGAAGTAAATTTTTTTTTTATATATTTTTATTATGGAAATTAATTACATATTGTTCAAAAAATATTTATGCTGTTATTTTATAATGATTAATTTATAATGTAATATTTTAATTTCAAACCAACTATCTATCTTATACATAGTATCACAAAATAGCACATTCCCTTTTTTATGACCTATATAAAAGAAAAATTTTGTTTGTAATTCAGTTATTGAAGAATAATTTTTCATCACTTATCGTCAGTATCAACCTTACGAATACACTAGTTTTTTTTATTTATTTTTAAAATATTGTATTATAACCTGGATTGAAACTTTAAAGATTGTGTGACAAAATATATGCTCATTTAGTTTATNATCAGCATTGGAGTAGGGCCTGAAGTAAAAAAAAATATTATATATTTTTATTATGGAAATTAATTACATATTGTTCAAAAAATATTTATGCTGTTATTTTATAATGATTAATTCATAATGTATTTTAATTTTAAACCAACAATCTATCTTATACATAGTATCACAAAATAACACATTCCCTTTTTTATGACCTATATAAAAAAAATTTTTTGTTCGTAATTCATTTATTGAAGAATAATTTTTCATCACTTATAGAGTCAATATCAACCTTACGAATACACTAGTTTTTTTTATTTATTTTTAAAATATTGTATTATAACATGGTTTGAAACTTTAAAGATTGTGTGACAAAATATATGTCATTTAAAGATTACTATAATGTATGCTTTTTCTTCTTTCTTTTTTCCAAATAAAAATTTGAAAGGTGCAATTAAAATATTAAATCATTCTTTATTGAATAGTTTCCCTTGTTCTCAAGCTTTCTTTTTTGCTACCATTTCATCAAAGGCTATAAAAAAAAGTGCAGTGTACATGGCAGTAATTTAACAAAAATAAGTAAATGTTTTTATTCATAATAACTTTTTAGCAATAATTAGTTATTTATATGATACACTTACTATCATCTATAGTTCTATTTAATTTCAGTTGTATTCTGAATTATTAAGTACTGAATAATATATATTTCCAACCACTTTAATAAATTTTAACATATACCAACTCGCTTTTCAAGTTAGATTGGATTCACTTACATACCCCCATTGTAGAATTCAATACAATAAAATTTCCAGTAAAATTTTTTTGATAATGTAACTCTTTATTAGTATTAGAAGTAATTTTATTTTATAAAAAATATAATGTTTTTTAGGGTCGATCTACAAACATTGGAACGTTTCTCTCGGCTATTTACTCATTTTGGGATACTATATTTGTTAAAAAAGCTGATAGTGCTCTGAAAGAAAAGCTGTTTAAGGAAGATCTACCATCACCAAAATATCCATTGCCCTGGAGGTACAGAATTTTAGTTCATTAGCTATGTATTAATTTAAACTGCTATTTATTACTTTGAGTCACATATAAATTCTGCATTGAAAGTAAGTTAAAGAAAATTTAAATTGAGAAAATAAAGAAACCTCACAAATTACGGTTTAAAAACATTTATTTTTCAAAAGAAAATAAAATTTCAGAAAACCATATTTGATTTGATTTAGCTTAAATACAAATTTTATTAAGAGTCATAACACAAAAAAATGACATAATTTTATTTGAGTGAGTGATATTACTTATACTTATTATTGATATAGATTATTGATATTGATAATAATGATTAATTATTATTGATATGGGGGTTATTACTCAATGTTTATATTTTAGATCTTTTATAACTACTTTCAAATGCAGTGAAACTTGTTAAGTGTAGTAAACTTTTTAAATTTTGTGTATTTTCAAAAGAGGACAATTTAATTTTTCACAGAAAAAATAAATAAAACAAAAATAGAACTTTAAGAAAATTTATTGTGTTTTGTTTTAAAGGAATATGTAAGTTCTAAACTAAGTTTACCATTTGTCAATGTAAATACAAAGGTTGTTAGAAAAACTTTTAGATTATGATACTTTATCATAAGCTGAAACAAAGTGGTTATTAAAAAGATAAAAACAAAGATCACAGTTTCTATATTGTTAGAATCCTTTTTTCATCTTAGCAAATTTTTTTTATTATTGAGTATTTGTTTTGAGTTATACATATTTCACCTCATTTATTTATATATTAAATTCAAAAATCAATGTGCTTATTAAAACCTTATTTTAGAATTGCAAACATATTTCGTACACTTTTTTTTATGTTATAATCATAAACTTTAAATGAAAAAAATTAGTCTAATTTTACTTAAGTTATAAAACAATTCTACATACTGTATTAATAGAAGTTAGGATGTTAAATTTATTTTATATTCTTATTTATCATAATAAACTCTTTGTTAATCAATATACCTATTAAAACCTTTTTTAGTATTGTAAACATATTTCACGCATGATTTTTTATACTAAAATCATAAACTTTAAACAAAAAATTAATCTCACTTTAATTAAAAAAAAGTCCTGCACATTGTGTTGACAGCAGTTGTGATGTTAAATTCATTTTAAAAACTTTTTTATGGTGATAAATTCTTTCAAAAGATAAAAGATTCTTATACAACTATTTCAAAAGATAAAAGATTCTTATACAACTATTTCAAAAGAATAAGAATAAAAAGATTTGTGAATTTTTGCTGCTATTGTTACTTTATTAATGCAAATTTTAAGATGCTACTTTTAAGGTTTTAATTACTTAAATTTCTATTCCTTAAGCTTAATCTAATAAATTATTGGAAAAATTTGCTTTTAAATTATTAGTAAAGTATTTCACTTTCATATCTTTGTAAAAGGAAGTTTTCTTAGTTTAATTTAATATTTGTTTTTCTTTCCAGATTACCTCCACTTTCTTATATTTCTGAAGAGAAAGGATGGGGTCTTTGGTTTCTGGGTCCAGATGAGCGAATCATTTTAAGAAGTCAGTTGTTTCGCCATAATTACTTAAAAGAACGACCAGTAAGTTAATGGTTTTTTTTATGGAAATGAAAAGACATAAATATATTCTATGAGCAAGGATTACAAAAAAGATTGCATTATTGCCATTTCTAGCAAAATTTTTAAGTAGGGTAGCTCAGGACACAAAAGGATTATTGCCTCTCAATAAAGTGATCCAGGTTTGAATCTAATATTGATCTCAGCATAAACTAAAAACAAATATCTTGAATGATAGATGGATCATGTGTTAGATTCAGTCCCTGTCAGCCTAACTGCTAGAGATATTTATGAGTTTCCTCTCAGGTTTTCATCGTCATAAAGTTCCCTTAACACCTAAATTAGGTGGTGGTAATAACTTTATACAGGGTGATTCTAAAAAGATGGTCAAAATTTTAGGAAGTGATAGTACACACCCAAGCAAACAATTTTTATCAAAAAGTGCATGGTCAAAAACAAAACGCAAAGGTGCTGGCACATTTGGAAAGTTGTTTGATGCAAACGTGGAAGCTCCATTCCTGTTGCGAGTTATTGCGCTGCGTTACTTGTTGCCAAGCTTTCAGCCGCTGCAGGGAAAATTCGTGATATGCCTGGTGTGTTTCAGAATGTTCGCCTATCTTTTCTTCGCCATTGTACTACGTGCATAGCCACTGCCGGCCACTGTTTTGAACACTTATTGTAATCACATGCCATTAAATTTGCTTTTATAACTTAATTTCATCGTTCTTAATTAACAAAATGTTTAACAAAATGTTTCTTCAAAATATATAAATGAAAAGGAAAGGAATAACATAAAAAAATTAATTGAAGCTTTTTATGTTATATATATCTACGCACACTTGAGTATTTAGATTTTTCTCCATTAATATTTTCATTTACTTTATATTTCTATGCAAAACTCAATTTTTGATATTTTAATTAAAATATATCTAGTTTTTTTTTGTTTTCTATATAATGTTTTTTCCTTTTTTAAAAAAAAATTTTTTTTTTTTCCTTCAGATCTTGTCTCATGGTTATGTGAAGTTATCTTCATTTTTTACTGGATTGCTACTCATAATGTTTGCTGGATTTTTTGGATTCATGACATCCTTTTCTTTTGGTCGATATCTACTGGCAAAGGTTGGTTGTACTGCAAAAAAAAATATTGTAGTGTTAAAAAGAAGAACTTGACTTTGTTTTAATAAATTTTTTTTTAAATCAAATTATTGTATCATTACTGAGTGTTGATGGTTTTTAAATCTATTGAATCTTTAATTTGATTATTTTAGCATGTTTAAATTATAATGTGCGCATCCAATGTAAATTTTTGCAATTCAGTTGCTAATAATTAACTTACCACTTGGAAAGAAGGCAGAATTTATTCACTACTTTTTTGTGCTTTCTGCTGCATGAGGTACAGTTAAATTGCGCGTAAAACCGACACAAAGAACTGTAATAATTAATGACCTTACATAAAAATATCATTTTAAATTTGCAGCATTAGTACTTTTCATTTAAGTAGAAAAAAACTGCTATTTTTTTTCTTTTTTACATGAATGCAATTGACCTTAAATACAGTATTTTGATAAGATCTTTAATATTTGTCATCTGTATATTTTTAGAAGTTATTCTTTTACTGCTGTCACCACTCAAAATCTATTTTCAAAGCAAAGTTCTTGAAAAATGAAGTAATTTCAATTAATTAAATGGTTTTAATTATTTTACTTAAATTATTGATACCTTGTAGCTAATATTTCCTATTCAGTTCATTTCAACATCATGCCATTCAATTCCCATATTGATATCAAAAATGGCTGTATCTGATTTACCAATTTTTTTTCTTTACAAAATTTGTTTGTTTCCTGACAGACAATTAAATGTTATGGAGTCTGACAGCGATAAAATATTTTGAATAAATTGATCTTTAGTAACTTGAGTTTTATTTTTACTCCAAATAGATTTTCATTGAGAAAAAAAATACTCTACTAAAAAAATACTGTGCTAAAATTTTGAAGTGTTTTTATTTTTATCTTATAACTGTCTTCCAAAAAATTGATTGTTTGTTATTCCATTATTTAAGTATTTTTATTATTATTTATTATAGTACCCATCATTTTTAACTGCTGGTGTATTTTCAAGTACTGGGCCAACTCGAAAGCAAGTATGTTGAAAATAATTTATTTCCCATTTTTAGGCTAATTATCATTTTCTAATAATATTTTACTGATATTTATAAAACTTACATCAGAGCAGCAAATTTTTTCCTTACTATTAACATTTTAATGACTAATATTTAGACTAGCCGTTACGAATAATGGCTAATTTATCACTTTAGCCCTACTTTCAAATCCAAATGTAAATTTTTTTGAAACTCTTAAAAGGATACTTGATGTTAGTTAACTGTGAAAGCGAATATATGTGCTGTCTAATTTTCCATGTACTTTATTTTTTAGCGAAAATAAAACATTATACACGAAATCGCAAATATTCGATAATTTAGTAGCATTTTTGAAATTAAATTTTCACTGTTGAGAAATTGAAGGTTAAGAGAACAAATTCATAACAAATGGTATAGAAAAACAAACTGGCTCATGTTAACATAAAAATGTTTTAAAGTACTAATTTTAAGAATAATTTTTAAAAAAGAAATCTAAATTTATGAAGAAAAGAAAACCTAAAGATTTTAAATAGATTAAATGTATTTATATTCCTTTTAGGTAATGGAAGGAAGCACGACGTTTACATTATATGGCCTAGGATGGAAAGAAAAACTATCAGATCCCACAGACCAGCACACCACTAAACCTGACACCAGAATAAAACTCACCATTAAAGGACCAGGTGATTATATATATATTTTTATTCTTAATATGTTTCTTTGGTTAATCATGATCAGTTGCTTGCTTAAAAATAAAAATTAACTATTTGCATATGTATAAAAAATCAAGTTATCCCGCAATAGCCAGTGGTTGGCTAAAGAGATCGTGAAGGTTGACTCCATAATTTGAATACCAATATTATGAGTAGTGGTGTATTATGCACTGGCCACTTTTGATAGATGGATTACTTTGTAGATAATTTTATAACCATATAATGACTGAAACTTATGTTGTTTCAAACAATCACTAAGAATAAAGCTCCTGCCTTTTACTTGACAGCTTAATGTTTTGAGAAACAGTTTCTCTTCCCACCAAACTCATCTGTTGTATGGGTGGAGGGGGGGATTCTTAACATGTTTTTAATTGTTTTCATTTAATTTTTACAAATGAACTGATGAGAGATGTTTACTCTATTACAGTATCGTAAGATACATTTAAAATAAAAGTCTGTCCTTCAGTCAGAATTTGAGATATAAAGCATGCGGTATTTTAGATTCTCTATTACTTTTTTCTCTCAAAATTATCCCAATACAATTTTGCAATCAACAGTTTTTTAAAGATATTTAATTAGTAAACAGTTATTAGTTTTAAGATTTTTTAAAAGTATTTTTGTTTTTATAAAATTAATATTAAAGGAAATTTATAGCATCATCCAAATCACTTTTCATTATTAGTTTAAACTGCAGTAAGATTAGATTTTAAAAGATTTGAAAAGTATGAAACTTGTCGCTTTAAATTACTTATGCAAAACCATAAATCACATCATTTTATTGCTTTTAAGTTTTGAGGAAAAATTCATAAAAGGTCTAAAATTTATCAAACGCTATTTCTCAAACTAATTAAGTTACCCCTTTATTTCCTATCTCTTTTGAAAGTTATTGTGCTCTTTTATATTACCATATAATCAATAGTTTGTTAAATCATCATCATCAATGACTCGACAGGCCAGGGTGAGCCTTGGCCTTCTCAAGAAGTTTTTTCAGGCCAACCTTTTTTTTCATAGTGTTTTCCAATTTTTAGTTTTTAGGATCAAAAGATCTTTCTCTAGGCCATCTATCCGTCTCAAATTTGGCCAGACTCTTTTTCGTGTGCCAACTGGTCTGGCATTGAAAACTCTTTTTGTAGTATGGTCTTCGTCCATTCTGATAACGTGGCCTGCTCATTTTATTCTTTGCCTTTTTATAAGGTTAATAATGTCAGGTTCATTAAATGAGTGATAAAGCTCTAGATTTGATCTTCTAAACCACTCACCATTTTTTTAAATTCCTCCAAAAATACTTCTCAAGACCTTTCTCTCAAATGTACCCAACATAGCCTCATCCGTACAAGAAGAGATCCAGGTTTCACAAGCATATGTTAAAATTGATCTTATAAGAGATTTATATAAAACTTTTGTTTTTCTATGAATTGCATTAGACTTTATGTATTTTCGAATTCCATTAAAACAGTTATTGGCTATAGTAATTCTTCTTTGTATTTCCATTGTGGTATAATTTGTTAAATATAAAATAAAAATAGCAGAAAATGCAAATTAGATATTGAACTTAGAATTCAAGATAGGCCTCTTAAACCACTGTAATAACATCCATTAACCCTTTCGAGCCGACTGTCACATATATATGCCAGCTCACTTCCCGACCGACACACCCGCTTGTCAGAGAGTTTTCTCGTTCACCCCTGACCGTCACTTATTTGTGCCAGCGTTTCGGAACGTTTTAAAAAATGAAATTTCTTCCAAAAGATGGCATTGTATGTCCATATGGTTTCAGATACATGTAGATTTGACCTTCTACTCAAGATGAAAGTACATTCACGTGGTTTTTAGGGGAAGGAGAGGAGGGGGGGAATGTTTTATGAGGGCTCTTTAAATTAGCACGTGATATTTATTTACAGTAAGTAAGGGAGTTTTTTTTATCTCTCGCTACTTTCGATTTTCGGATTAGTTTTTAGTGGATAATTAGATCTTGTAGGCTTGAATTTTTTTTCTTTTTACCGTTAGAATGTCGAAGCGTCGAAAATTTTTAACTGAGCTGGAAATAGAGGAAATTATGCAAAATATTTAAACTTATTAATATTTATATTACATTTAAACAAGAAATAACTTAAGTAAATAAAGTATCCATAGAAATATATATAAAGCATATGTCACTTAAATACTCTACAGAACAATATTAAACAACGCGCTGATATTTCGGTAATTTCATGGAATTAGGCTTAACATCGAAAAACCCTCCGGCCCTGGGGAGACACACGCTAGAGAGACTGCCGGCCTCAGCGGTAAGCGCGCTTTCGCGCTTTGCGTCGCGAAAGGGTTAATAAAAGAATAAAAATGCAAACATCTTTCTTCATTTTTTGTTATTTAAAAATTTTATTTTTAAATGCACTTATACTTTATTTTTTAAGGTTTAAAATAAATTAAAAAAAAGGTAAAATAACATTTTTTTTCTATTTCTCTATTTTTTGCTTTGCAAATTTTCTTTTACGGTGAATTTCTATCGCTGTCATTGAATCAGCTTTAAAAGTTAATAATAAGTACAAAGATAAAACTTTTAAATGCTAAAATTCTAGAAAGATATTCAGCAAAAAAACCAAAACTTAACTTGATTGTGTTTTGTTATTGAAATTTTTATGCTTTTTTTTAATTTTTATTTTTATTAATACTTAAAAATATGATTTTAAAAACTAACAGTTGCATCATACACATGAATATTTAATTATCATTTGATGATTCAGAAATAATTATCATTTGATGATTCAGAAATAATTATCATTTAATGATTCATAAATAATTATCATTTAATGATTCATAAATAATTATCATTTAATGATTCAGAAATAATTATCAGTTAATGATTCAAGAATAATTAATTATCATTTGATGATTCATGAATAATGCTCATTATCATTGGGGAATAATTTAATCATGCATTCAGTAATGAGGTTCTACTCTTTTTATTAAATCTTAATAATCTAGCTTTTAAGTGGTTTTTTTCCCCCATCAACTTTGCTGAATAGTGTTAATGTTCATCATTGCCACCCGTGTCACAAAATTTAAGCGACCCCTAGTTAAAAGGTATGCAGCAGACCTTACAAAATAGCTGTAATAAGAACTAATATCAACTAATAAATAACTATCATAAAATATTATATCAGATTTAGGAAAATATAAACTGAATTTATTTTCTTTTAAGTTTTCATTATCTGAATAAACATAAAAACTCTAAATTCAGTGGCATGACAGCCAAAGGAAGGTCAAGGCTGCTACGTCCATGCAAGTTTTCTTGACCTTGGGTTCTGGGATACTAGAGCAGATGCTCTGGGTGGGTGCTCAGCGGAATGTGGAACCCTCAGTATTTAGTACCAAGAATGCTCGGTACTCATTTTATCAACCCACTGAATTAAATAAACGTAATTCAGCCTTTTTATTAATTCTTTTGTCATAAAATTTTTTAAATTATCATGCATGAATTGCTACAGAACTATTATGTAGGACGTTTCAATGCATCCCATAAAAATGCTGAAAAAGCTCTAAAAATTATCTTCCTGTTCTCAATTTACTTTAATAAGTGCTTATATTTAATGTATTTTTTTTCAATAAATGTTTATTGCCTATTTAACAAAGAAAATTCTCCTTATTGTTTTTTTTTAAATATTTTTTTCTTTCATTTAGAGCCTGGATATCCATTAACTGCTATGTGCATGGTACAAGCTGGTTTGACAATACTCCAAGAACAAGCTAAATTACCTTTAGAGTAAGTTAACACATCACTATAAGTTATTAATCTAGAGAACTGAGATGATAAAAAAAGAATATTTTATTATTGTTGTAAACTTAGCTTTATTTTAAATACATTTTATTAATGCTGCCAAAAACTATTTTCAAATTATGTTTTGAATCTATAATTACCTCACCTTAACTTATAAAAAAGAAAGAGATCTAATATTATTAATCTTTGTTTTAACAAGTAGTCATTATAAATAACATTTTCTGTAAGTGTTTGAAAAGCAGGGCTGACTGTGCTCCGGAAAAAATCCTGATTTCCGTAATAACAGTGATCCGGAAGTTTACGCAGATCGAAGGTCCAGACGTTTCAAAAAGTTATTGATCACAGAAGTTTCCGGAAATCAAATTTCCAAAGGTGGAACTTAAAAACACAGTTTATTTTATTTGTAAGGGAGAGCCACAGAGATACTTTATAAGCTTATATTCATGATTAATATTCATTTTTTATCAGTAAATAGTTGTTATAATCATAAACTCAAGAAGGAAAGACATATTTGTAAAATTTTTAATATATTTTAAGTAAACTAAGAAATATAGAGAAAAAAGAAAAATCTATGTTTAATTTTTTTTCTAATTTTTTAATTTAAACTTCTATTTTTAAACTCAAGAAATTTTCCGGAATTCTGACTTGGGCTCACATTTACCCCTGGAAAAGACAATGGTATGTCTTTCAAGCTTGTTATCATTCATCCTGATTTGAAAACTAAAAGCATTCATGCTGAATTAGTTCTGTTCGACTGTTCAGACTGTTTCAGTTCACCCTGGTTTTTCCAACCTAATCTAAAGCAGGCCTTTCTTTTTACACCAGTACTTTCCTAAATGTTCCTCTGAGTATTCCAAATTGCTTCGATCTACTTAGTTCTTTCCCACCTGCACCAAGACAGGCATTTTTTTTTCTCTGTCGGTCTGTTTATTAGCAATTGTTCACATTTCTCAGTGATATAAGCTGTTTCAATCTTCTTTTATTTTACAAACCTATTCCAAAACTGTCCGTTTTTTCCACTCGCAATTTCCCAAATGTTCATATGCCTGTGAGTGTTCCAAACTACTTTGATCTATTTTGTTTTATCCCTCTTGTTTCAACACCAATTTTTTTCTTCTGACATTTTAGCAGATGATCATATATTTTTCTTCTGTATACTTCTTTTTGTAATTACGAAAGAAACGCTGATTGGTTCTGCAAGGAAACAAGAGAGCTATCAAAAGATTGAGCTTATATTTGTAGTTCAACTTCATATTACATGTTTGGCACAATAAAATAATGTGCTCAATTGCGTGTGTTCATATGAGTTGAAATTAACCTAATTTCTGAAATGCAAATTCTACTGATGTTTTTAATTTTTTACAGAATTTTGAAAATATAAAAGCCATGTTTAATTTCCCGTAAAATGTCTATTTTAAGTACTTATTGTGAGACAATGAAAGCTGTAATTGTTAAAAAGTATTAGTCGCAAGAAAAGTAGAAAAATTTAATTCCTTTTCACACAAGGGTTACCTTTTACATAGGGTTAGTTTTTGCTTTACTTACCAATTAACTGTTTCTTTTTTACATTTATGAAATTGTAGTTTTCTAGTGGAACATTGACTTTAGCTGAAATACTTACTTATGTTAGTCAATAACTGTACTTTTGTTTTATTTTTTAGAGGAGGTGTTCTCACTCCTGGTGTAGCATTTGCTGACACTTCTCTCAAACAAAGATTAGAAAAGCGTGGAATGACTTTTGAATTTAAAGCTCTTAACTGAAAGTTTTGATGAAAGGAATGAAGCTTATGAACACTGTGATTAATATGTTGCTATTACTAAGATTTATAATTATTGCTTAACAGGTTAATGAGCACATACTATATTGTTTCATAAAAGATTAAGCTTGGAAATGTCAATTATAACTTTTGAAAACTAATTATTTTTGTTAAAAATGTCAGGCATGTAAATGTTTCCACTTATTATGCTAAACAATGCTCTAATTGCCTAATGGATGTAGTATTTGCCTTATGCATTTGTTATTAAGACGAAAATGAAGATGAACTTGCTCGTCATCATTTTTAAATGCTTCTTATAATATTTTACTTCAGATGGTAGTTTTTTTAATATTATAAGAGTGTTAAAAAAAATTTCCACAGTAAAATATATTATGTCATATTAATATTGTTTATCTGTCTGTTTGACAAAGCAAGAGCTTTTTTTCATAATTTTTTATGTTTTATTGTCAATTTTATTATTTTTTTTTTTTATATCATATTGTTGTATCTTATTTTTATGTTACTTTTTATTAATTTTTGTAAAATAGTATGAGTTTAAATAATGATCTTGTCTTAAAAATTTTTCTGTTTTTCTTTTTAGTTTAAAAATATTTGTTGTTCTTTTATATGTTAGAAAGTAATAAATATATATATATAGATTTATATCCTGAAATGTGAGTGACTGATAACGAACGAGCAGTCTAACCATTAGAAAACAACCTTAATTGTATTTGCACCAATATGATGAATGTAAAAATATAATTTAATATTTTAAAATGTTTGGGTTACGCATAAAAAAATTTTGAAAGTGTATTAAACATATTGATTAAGGCATTATAGATTATGCTTATAAGTAATTCTGTTTTAGTAGTTTTTATTTTAAAATATTTCTAAAAAATACCGTGTTTACTAATATATAGAGGGTGATATTGTCTGATTTCTATTTCTGGATGTTTTTTCCCCTTTTTAATACTCTCTTATATCTGCACAGTTTTCAGAATTACTATTTTTAAATTGTGTTTCTTGTTAACAATTATGAATTAATTATATTAAAACTTGAATTTGCGCAAAATATATTTTTGTAATGATTCAAATTGTGAATATCAAAAAGAAATGATATATTTAATCATAAAAAAAACTATTACTATATTTTATTATTTAAACAAGATTATCTCTAATAAAATTTTTTTTGGAATACGTATTTGTTTTGTTCTTGAAATCTTTCCTATTTAACATTCTAAGGAAATCAACCACTTTCAATAGTTTTGAAATCTTAGTGTCACTTTTAGTTTAAATGAATTGATTTTTATTCATTTTTCATCAAAAGAAATTTCATTACATACATTTTTATTTGTTATACAAGCAAACAATCTTTATAAATTATTAAAATATGATTATAATGCAATGCCTGTGAGTTTGCAAAATCACTGATCAGTGGAATTATATCCTCTTATTGTCATTATATTTTAAAGAATGAAATATTTAATATCACAATATTGAAATTTTTTGGTCAACAGACTCACAATCATTAATTATCTGAATAAAAGCTATTTGGTGATTTAATGAAATTTATTTAAATCGATAGTGTTATAGAGTCAGGGGCTCAGGTATGCCCATGTTTTGCATCTGTTTAACTTTCTCTTGAATCACTTATTATATTTCACAACTCTAACGGAGATGGTTTGGCGTTTATTAGAATGCAAAACGGCAAAGTGTGTGTGGGAGGAAGGAAACTCTTTTTTGTAGCAAAAATTAGAAGGACTAAGTTGGCTTAGCTCTCTGTCCAAAGTGGTATTTAGCAATGATTTTCTTTCACTTTCAGTATTAAGGAGTCGATAAAGTGTTGCAATTTTTATTTGCATAGCTTAAACCTTATTAACATTAAATTTGAATTAAAATGGCTTCACGCAACCCATCAATGTTTCTAATTATATTATTTATATGAATGTATACTTGTGAAAAACTGAAATAAATTAAAGAAGGAAATCTCTTTAAAAAAAGTAATTTTTTTTTCCAATTTTATGCAATTTAATAAGGAAAACTCTTAAACCGTAAATTTTTTTTAAATATACTTTTTGAATAACATCTAAAAATTATTGAGCATTTGAGGAAGGGGATATTGTAGGAAATATTTACGAATTTGCTAAAAAACAGTTAACTAAACATTTTGAAGGGTATACCTGCTATTAATTTCTTTAGCTTAAAATTTAAACTCCTCTCTTCTTTCAGCATACCAACTTTTATTATGTATGTAACTGACCTAACTTCTTCAATTTTAGGAATTTTTCATCATCTTCAAACTTATACTTAAGTTTTTGTATAATTTAGTAAAATTTCATGTTTTTTCAATCCTCATCATGCTGTTACTTTGTTTCAAAATTGAAATAACAATCATTGAAAAAAGTTGTAATCTTTTTTTTTTTAAATGCTGCAAAGTTAATGGAAAATTTTTGTATTTATTTTCATTGTGTTTATATTTTGCATTAATTTTATTACATTTTTACTATCATGACGTAGTTTCTTACAAATTAAATCTTTTTTATATGATTTGATTGATGTCATATTTATGTGGATGAAATCTTAGAGAGGTTCACCCCTCACCCCCTTTATTAGCTAAGATTATTTACTCGAAACCAGTTAATAGTGGACATGAGCTGTGACTCTTCTCTCCCACGTGACAAATACAAAAATGTTTTAATTTTTAGAAGCTACTATGTTCTTATTATCAATTACCATGGAAGGTGTTTTAAATAAATATAACGAATAAAAAAAAATTGAAGAACTTATCATTGCCATACATGATCTGACTGACGTAGAATAAAAATTATAGGTAAAGTGTGTCACTGTCATATATTAATATTCTGATCTATATATTCAGGGCCCGACTTAGCCTAATTAGGGCCCCCTTCTGCTTCAGTAATGAAGAACCGGACTTTATGGAGGTATTTAAATTTTTCACCTCATTATACATATGTCACAAGAAAATTGACTAGAACCTAAAATAGCTATAAAGTACACCCCCCCCCTTAGGGCAGACGAAATATCGTCTGTCCATTTTATCGATTTCCTGACAATTCTATGTTCATCATGCCGAATGCAGTTTTCTGATTGTTGGCTTTGTCATCTAGCTGCGAAAGATTCATGTCCTTGCTAACATTAGGGCGGCATTCAGCTAAATTTACAATGGCTCACTTAAGCCAATCGGAAGCCCGTACTTTTGAAAATTGCATTTTGCGATATGCAAAAATACAGGCTTTTGTTTGGCCATATTTGTCCATCGTAATTGTGAAAATTTAGCTAAATTCTGCCCTAGAAAATCATGGAAATATAGAATTTTTGTGTTCATACGATAGATTAATGAAGAAGCTATCATAAAACTGATTTTATATTGCACTGATATTTTGTTTAAAAAAATTCATTAACCGTAAAATAAACTTTTTATTCGATTTGGGGGCCCCCTCTGATGTGGGGCCCGGGGCAACCTGCCTTAATCAGGCTCTGTATAATTACTCTTTGGGGTTCATTTACTACAAATAAGTAATAAAGTACTGTGCTTAAGGGAATTTAAGCTCTTTTTTTTCCTTTTATTAAAAATATTCCATTAAAACTATAGTATGCCTGAGCTTAATTTCGACCTTTTTATACGAAATATACTAATCTCCCTTCCTTCCTTTATCCAGCAGATATAACATTGGTAGAGATTTTAAATACTTCTAACTTTGATTTTATCTATCATTTATTTCATTTTTATCATTCATAAAATAGGCTTAAGAGAATTTATCGTCATATCTATTGGTAAATTTTTAAAGTTTATTTTGTTTCTTTTCCTTTAGTTAAAATCTTAAAAGAATGCTCTCTGGTCTGCGATATTCGGGAAAACGTACTAATTTCTTAAAAGCATATTCTTGAATTCTTTCAAAGATAAATATTAATAATAAAAGGATGTTTACTTATTTATATTCCTAAAATGATGTTAATTTGCACATTATCTGATAAAATTACTTCAATGATTATTGGTTTCTCTTAACTATATGTTTTTGAACAGTAAAAACTTTATTCCCCGATTTCTCCCACCGAATAGACTGTTCAACTTTTTAGTGTGTTTGAGTTTTGTTTTAATGGTGGAGCCTTATGTAGAATGTTCAGTCATTTCTATAGTATTAATGAACTGTTCGGTCGTGTTCTTTTTTTTTTAATCTGGGAAACTGTCTTTTAAACTATTTTTAATTAGAGTAACTAAGAAATTACATCACAACTGATGAAAAAAATGTTTCGCTATGCTTAATGTCGCCTGCATTAACATGTGAATTATCTGGTTCCAAAAACTAGTGAGCAGTTATACAGCAGATTGTATTCCAGGGTTACCAGCCGACCGGCATGTGTAGGGGGCAGGGCATGGCATGGATATTTCTTTCTCTCTATCTGTGTTCTATGTCCTTTCTCCTTTGTGTGTGAATGTGACCCGCCCTACAAACGGGTTTGTGATTGTGTTACGTGGGCACCGTGGCTTCGCCACAGGTGCCCACTGGGTAACGAAAAGAGAGTTAGCAGTTCTGGCACTTTCTGTGGCCAATGGACAATAGTTCCAAGTGCCCGCCATTAAAAAAAAAATAATAATAAAATTCCAGCGTTACCTCGGATTTCCGGGTTTTTCGAATCTTTCTTCTGCGTCTAAAAATACTGCGGAGCATGCAATTTTTGTGCTTATCGTACAATTTCGATCCGCTCAAGACCGTTCGCGGGCATATGTGAATCAAAAACTTATAAGACGACAAAATTTTGAAGCTTTTTCTAAATCCAGTTAACGAGACGTTTACATACATTCATCTGCCAATTACGTGATACGTCTCGCGTGACTGTTCCGCCAATTTGATTCTTTTGGCTTAGCTGTTTTTCGCCATTTCGAATATTTGGAACTGTGTCGCAATCTGCTAAAATCGCTATTCTTGTTCACGTGATTTTAATATAAAACATCGATTTTCATATATACTTGATTCAAAAGCTACGCGTTGCGATTGGTAGTCACGTGATTTAAAAATCGTTCATCGTAATTCATATTCACGTGATTTAAAAGTGCAATTTCACGATTTGTATTTACACGTTTTTGAAACCCAATGTCACGATTCGTTTTCACGCTTTTTTAAAATCCAATATTGCGATTCGTGTTCACGCGTTTGTAATCCCGCATCGATTTTCGCATTTATACTTTAGTTAAAAAGTACGCATCGCGATTCGTATTCATGCTATCTAAAAATTTTGTGCAGTGATTTCTATTTACTCGATTTAAGTGTTTTTAAAATCCAATATCGCGATTCATATTCTCACGATTTTAAAATCCAATATCGCGTTTCATATTCCTGCTATTTTAAAATCGTGATTCTTCTAAGAAGTAAGTTTTTCTTGAATTAATTACTCTAAAAGTTATATCCTGCATTAGAAGGTAATTTAAATATAAATGTTAGATGAAACATGTAAGGTATATAAATTGATATCGATTTTTTTCACATAAAATGTTCAGGGTTTTTCACTTAGCGCCGCAATTACCACTGAGTTATAATACTGCTCTTTGGGAGAGTGATGAGTTAAATAGATTGCATTAAGTTAAATCTAAGTTATCATTTTATTTTATCACATTTATTTTTAATAATGATTGTCGGGTTCTGCATCTTTGTTGTAGTTTGCTTCTCATCCATCACTGAAGTCCCGCAGTGAACTGATCGTTAAGACACGGTTCCCAGCAGATCACCGAAGTCAAGCATCACTGGCTGCGGTCAGTGTGCGGGCGGGTGACCACTTGGATCAGTCTGCGTAGGGACCGANTAAACATAATATATAAACACTTAAACATCAATTTGAACTTTACTCCAGAATTATTTTTTATGTTACAATTATAATGCTTAATAATTAAGTACAAATGTTAGGAAATATGCATAGGATGATTAGACATTACATGGCATAATTATTCTTTTAATTTAGATCCGAATTTTCTTTTCCTTACAACAGAATGTAAGAAAATTATATAAATATTGCAGCTAAGCTTTTATAAGAGAATACTTAATTTAAAAGTATTAAGAGCAAAGTATTAAGAACATACTCTTAATATCAAAATGACATACTTTTATTTAAAAACAAATAATAAACATAGCAAAGAAAACATTCATTTTTATTGTTACATTTATAAATATCTAAAAATTCGAAAACATTTTCGCCTAATATCTTTTTTAAACACAAATCTCCTCTTTTCCAGTGTCTGTTTACGAAATAAATGTAAACACAATCCATCAATGAACCAATTGTTTCATCACACCAAATACGAGATTACGCGAGAACACAGACAGGCGTGCACAAAATTATTGAAATTTTTATTTTAATTCACAATAAACGCGATAACTTCCCAAATTCTTGCAACCATGAGTGATAGTCAACAGCCAATCACAATGCGAAAAGCCCATTGATCCGACGTTATCATTTCCTTGTTGCCATTCTGTAGTAGAAACTATGGTTTAAAATTAGTTACCAATTCCTTAAAAGATAGAGACCCGCATAATGATGACAAATATTTTGTCTGAGCAGAAATAGGCAACGGGAAACATTCGATGTTTGGGTTTTGTCATTGCTTGTTAAACGTAGAGGTGAAAACTTGTCACAATTATTGATTGAAGAATTTGAAATTATTTCTCTTGTTTGGAAAAAGAATGCTTCGCAATATTCGCCCACGGGTTGCTTCTATAATGTTTTCGTAAGTTGTATTTTCTTTCATTCTAAAATTATTAAAGATAACTCCACATTCCTTAATCATTAAAGGGTGAATTACAATTTGATAGCAAGTCAAATTTGCTGCATTTCTTCGAAATTAATCATAATAAATTGTTTGGAAATATTTTCTTGCACTTATTTCTATTTCTGTTTGTTTAACCGCTACTTATTTCTGTTTAAAAGTTTGAAGAAAACCTATTTTCTATTGGTATATATTTATCAGTGTTCTCCATAAGAATTTTTAGGAGGATGGCCCACCCTGTCTGCACTTTCCCTAAAACAAATGCACTGTAAAAATGCCTATTCTGTAAAAATGTTCTCTTTTTTTCAGAAAAAATACTGATTTTTTAAATTTAAAATAAATGTATTTCTGAAAATGTGCATTGTTTTATATAATATACATATTTTATACCTTTTATCTTCTAATAAACTTTTCTATTTGTTTGCTTTTTATATACTCTACTTTATTGTGCATTGTTAAATAGATTCCATTGATTTTCAGGAAATCATTTAAAATAACTAGGATGAAACCCAATCCAACTTATTAACAAATAGCTTAATAGTATCCATCACTGTGATAACGTTGAAGCTCTAATAACCATCTTAATTTCCTTAAATTTCTGAAATTGTATTTATAAATCCTAGCTATTGCTAAAGGCAACACAGGAGCGACCATGAACTTAATACAGTTCTCACGGATATCACTTATAAAGTATGGTGATCTTAATATAGCTCTCCCGGCTTCTCAGAAAGACAGCATTGAATCAACTAGTAGTTTCCTTGTATCCAATTCTATTCCACCTATAATTCTGGTGGGGGAGTACTGTAGTGTGTCTACTACTACAAAATTACAATTCCAATTCACTAGTATAAAAGACATGTTAACTCAATTCTATGTTGGAGTACCTTTTCATAGATGAAGGTTGACATTATCGATATCTACTCTCCCTACACAAGGTTATTACTGAATCCCATTTAACCTATTTTCCAGGAACTCAGGTCTTATTGTAAGTTGTAAGCCTTATTAAAGCTGAATCTTTACAAGAAACAATAGTGTCTCCTATTTTAAAATAATTTCAATAAATTAAAAATGAATGAAAAAATGAATTAAATGATTGACTATCCTATATACCTATTCATTTTAATTTTTAAGAAATCAAAATGAATGAAATTCTTTAAAAAATTCTGAAATATTAAAAAAATGTGCATCATAAAAGTAAGTAATAAAATTCTGATTTAAATCCTTTGAAGATCAAATGTAAAAAAAAACTCACATTATTGATTTAATACATTTATAGCATTCAAGTTTTTATTTAATTTATTATTTAAAACAATCTTAGAAGATAATAAATTTAATTTAAGAGATTAAAAAAATAATCTAGAATTTTTTTAACTATATATTGAAAAATTTTATTTCAAAACTAATAACAAAATTTATGAACCATTGATTAGAGTATCATAACTGATTAAACTAATTTAACTAAAATGTGTAACTTTAAAACCAACCTCAGTATTTAAGACAGTATCATAATAATTGATTTAACTAGTAATTGAAAAAGATATTTAACGATAACCTTTGTCACAATGGGCACTTTTTATTTTTTGAGGGATAACAAATGCATTATTTGTATAAAAAATTCTTTTCTTATTTTATAGAAGTAAGAATTATATACAATTGGAAAAAAAAATTGTATAAACTAAATGAAGGTGCTTTATACACATTGTTTTGCTTTAAGGATGATATGTTTATTTTTTATTTTGGGCTTTAATTTCTTTTTATTTTTAGTACTTTTATGTACAGAATATTTTGCTTTTGCTTTTCGTATTTCAAAAATTGTTTCAGAATATTTCACCTAAATACTTTTCAATATTTCTTTGTACCATATTATTCCCTGATTTTATTATTATTGTAGTAACTAAAAAAAAAAAGGCAATCTAAAATAGTTTTATGAATTAAAAAGGTTTAAACCTTAAATATGTATATTTGGTGGTTTAGTATATATCATGGCTGGATATATATTTGGCTGTTATATCATATTGGCTGAAGAAAGATATTTTCTATCAATAGTAGGGGAACTATTGTAGAGCAAGTTAAAAGATGACAACAAATAGTAGGTAGTTAAAGGGATAATGATGATACGAATTTAAAGTGATACAAAGCAATAAGTAGAACTCTCCTTACTATTGCAATATCACCAATTAAAAATAATTCAATCTGTTAAAATTTGCTGCTAATACTATTTTGGAAGTTTGGATTATAAAACATAAGTACCAGTAGTACCATTAATTCATGTTTTACAGAAAAAAGAATTACTAATGAATAATGGTTAAGTTTTAAAGTTAGGATTTGTATTTACTGGTTTCTTATATTTTGACCCTCCCCCTTAAAAAAAAAAAAAAAACATCCACATGCAATTTAATATATATTTGTAATATTATTTTAAGAGCTTTGTTTAAGTTATGAAACAATATTTATATGTTTCCTCTTTATTTTTAGATTCTATCGCACAAACGGGTCACAAGCAGGAGAATGGGGTAGTGGTTCTGGAAAGGTAAAATAGTGTTTTATAAAAAAGAAATGTTTTTGTCTGAATATTTCCTACTTTAATAAAGTTTCTTGTGATTTTTAAACTTCGGTTTTATCTACTGCTGAATTGTGTGTATCTGGAGTTAGTTACTATTAATATGTTATGTTACTATTAAATGAAAAGTACTATAAGTTTTTTCTAATATTATAAGTTTTTGTTATTCTCGAGATATTTCTTTGTTAATTCTAATTAGACCTCCTTTCCTCTGTACATCAATATTAACGAACAAAAATTTGTAAGACAGAGGTTTAAATTGCCCTCAATATTTCATATGATGATTTAATGATATTTTAATGTAAATTTATTACAGTTTTACTTATAATGTCAGGTTCGTTATTTGAATACTTCATTTTTATGCAACCACTTCAAAATTATGGCTCTTTACAAAAAAGAAGCCTCTTTACAAAATTTCACCTCAAATATCATTTGTTCCTGTTAAACATTTATTTTTAATAAACATGGTCTTAAGGTACTTTGACACAAATTAAGATTCCTTTTTCTTGTGACTATTCATATATTGAATGAGAATCTATGAATAGCTATACATTTTCTTATGCTTTAGGTCCGTTTAAAAGTTCGTACATAGAACACCTTCAATTTTTCCCTTATATATTTTTTAAAGTTCTGTTTCAGTTTTTTACTCTATGGTTTTCATGAATTGTGCAAGTTTGGCGTTTATGTACTATAACTTGCTTTTTTTCGGTTTCATATTAATTTTATTTTCAAATAGTTCTACTGTTGTCAGAACTTATGTATTTATTTCAAACATCTGTTTAAATCCATATGTATTTGAAATTAGTAATTTTGCTGTATGATTTTCCGATTTTTTAATTTGTTGTTAATTTTGGATTATAGCCTTTTGAACCGAATTTTAGATTTTGGGAAGTTTATATTAATTAAATTTTATCAATAATTGTATCACAAATATTCCTTTTGTACTTATGTACCATTAAAAAAATACAAATTTTATGGATATGTTGGCAAGACTGACCAATCCAATAAATGGCAAAAACGAAGTAATATTTTCAAGTCATTTAAATGCCTTTTATTAAAAATAAAAGCTCAAATTAATACATAGCATTTGTGTCCTACCAAAAGTTATGTATGTTGGATTGGGTTTTTCTCCCGAAAGATCACTGGCAATTAAAAAAACTTAGGTACATTACCTCGTAGTTCCCTTGGCCACTTTTGCTGTAGACTTATAATTTTTATATTGGCTGTAAATTTTAATTGCTTAAATCATCAGATTTAAAAAAAAATGTTTTTCAAATTTTTCTCGCATTTTTTTTCTTCAAATAATAAGTGCACAATGTTTAAAATTAAGGGAAAATGGTGCTTTATCCTTAACTTTTCCTGAATTTAATTTCAACTTTCTTGAATTTTTTGAAAGTTTATAATGTTATAAAATAGTCTGTTGTGATTTTTTGAAGTTTAAGAACTTTTTGAGAAGCTATGTGACTAATACAGAGTTTAGTTAAACAAATTTTCAACCACATGTTCTTTTTAGTTGACCATATTTTCCTAGTTAAGCACATTTTTCAGCTTCATCTCATTAGTCTGCTGAAAAATTATTCAATCAATTTGTAGTTCATCTGATTACTGAATTTCCTTCTATGTAAATTTAGAATGATTCTAATATCTTGAGGGTAATAAAAATTTGAATAGCTAGATATCAAAAGTATTTAACACAATTGTCGAGAATTCAATTACCTCTGAACTCAAAAAAGTATGTAGGAAAAAAGATGAATATTTTTTGAGGTACAATAGAACAAGGTTTAATCATTTAGTTTTTTTTAAAAAAAATGAATAAAAATATGGCTGTGTTGCATGTAATTTAATTCTATATTGGTCACCTTAACTCTTAATGTTTAGAAAATAATTCTAACGCATTACACACTAATAAAGCTTTCAGAAAATATAAATAAGAAAGAAAGTCTACTTGTAAAAATTTTTGTTATTTTAATTTTCGAAAATAAAAAGTTAATGAGTGCTGAAATTATCTAATTGATTCGATCCTCATTCATTCAATAATCTAAAAAGAAAAGATTTTTTCAGATTTTATGAAAGCTTAATATTTGATTAAAAAGGTAGTTTCATTTTATTGTAAAAATAAAATATTTCTTAAAAAGTGAAAATATTAAATGTTTGTACTAACTTAAGTTTCAAATAACGTATATAATTACTATTTTAGGGTGGAGGTTCTGGTGGATCTGTCAGGTAATAAAAAGTTAATTGAATCTGTTTTTTAAATGAAAATTTTCACTATTGATATGTTCAGAATTTAAAGTGCTTATTTTAGGCAACCTTGAACTTTTGCCACCTCATCTCATTTTCTTACAAAGCATTAAATGAATTAACATTCCACTTTCAAAACTTGAAATCTCAGTGGTGTGCAATTGTTACCGCCAAAGTATGAAATGTTGGCATTCTATAGACTGCCTAGGCATTGTATATAATGCTATACGTTTTAAAGCAAAGTATGAGAATTATTCTTAGGCATTGATAATTTTCTTAGGCATTAATACCCAGACATTCTATAGAATGACAAATTCTGTTTAAGAAAAATATGCAAAAAGGTTCTGATTAGGCTATTATATTTTTATTTCACTTCGCTATTATATTTTTTTCACACATATTTCTCAAAAATTAAAATGTTATTCTGCAAAAATATTGAGAACATTAAAAAATGAGTTCAAAATGCATAAAGAAAATTGAAAGTTGTTCAAAATAAACATATTAAGGGAAACAAAATTTTCGTTTAAAAAAATAAGAACTTAAAATTAACCTACTTGTACCAACATGTAGGCCTGAATGACATTTCATTACATTCAAAACGAAGTGGAGATGTATTTCATACTTTGTCGGTTTCTTATTCTATAAAATGCCAAGGTAAGGTTTGAAGTATGAATAGTTTCATACATAGCTGACTCGTTTTAGGAAATTGTATACAATTCCTAAGCATTAAATGGTATGCTGGATTTCAAACTTTGCCTGTAACGTATGATTTTTATTAGAATTAGATATGGTTGGGATTTGCCGTTATTATTCTAATCCCCTCAATTATATTTAATTAAAATGCTTCTGAAATTTAACTCTCATTTCAATAACATTATATTTATTTTGTTATTTAATTTTAAAATTAAATGGTTTAGGTTAGGCTATAAGATTTATGAATAAAAGGCTTAGTGCATTAGGGTGATGTTTTTCTTCTTTTGAATGTGTAGCATATGTATATGTAAAATTTTCAGATCAAACTGTTGTTTAATATTGTTTTGAAATAAACATTGCAAGTTTCTAAATTTTTTAATAGATAACATCACTGTGCACAAAAACAACTTTTATTGCTTTTATTTAAATTATAATATAATTTACTCAAAATACTTCTATAGACAATTTTAAAATGTGGCTGATTGGTATATTTTGCTCTAAGCCTATCAAATTTCAATATCTTCATGTTGCACAGTTAAATTTGGCTTATTTATTTTGCTAATTTTAATATATATATACTTCGTCTAAAGAAAGTGTTTTTCTTTAGTTATAACAAATTTTTTATTTTTATTATTAGGGATGCTGGTGGTAGTTTTGGTAAGATGGAAGCTGCAAGGGAAGAAGAATATTTTAGGAAACAAGTAGGTTTATAATTTTTTTTCAAGCTGTTGTTATCTAGTACAATCAATTTTTAAAAAATTTGTTTATTCAAATGTAATTTATGTAAGAACTGCAATGCAAATATGCCTAATCTTTAATTTAAAAAAAAAAAAAATGTTTAAGGTTGGATTTTGAATACAATATAATAATTTAAAAGAACACTGAAGTAATGCATTTTAATAAAATATATTATTAGTGATATATTTTTTATTTAACTTGAAAAAGTGTTAGTATTTATCAGTAATTTACTTCTTAATAGACTAACAGTAACTAAAATGTATTGTGTATTCATACGTTAGGTGTAAAAAATAATAGAGTTATTTAAAATATGTGATTTGATGGAAGTTTTCCAATTTTTGAAAATTGTAGAGATTAGATTTTTCTGACTTCTGAACATGTTTGTTAATTTTCTACTTTAATTTTTTCATCTTATAAAGATACATGTTTTGAGCTATGCCAGATTGGGACGCTCACCAAATATATACTTTTTAGTAGTCTGCAGTCCTAGAAGGGTTAAATAAAATTATAAACTTGACGATTACTTATTTTATTGCTGTTTAGGGGAGATCGAAATTTAAAAATTAAAAAAAAATAATAATACGCAAGTAGAAACTGTACAGTGCCTAATATGTCTCTCTAGAAGGGATTCCTGATATTCAAAAGTTTTGCAAACAAGTAAGAAAGTTCTGAATTCGAAACACATTACGTATCTTTAATACTTTCATCATGTTTTGACATGTCCTTAGTTTTTCTTAGGAATCATGATTATATTTTTACATTGTTTAAAAAACAAAGCATTATTTTATTATTATTGATGCAAATTTTTTGCCAAAATAAATTCATTTTTTTTCTGCTATAAGCTGCTAACACTTTTGCCATATTCAAAAATTTCCTCCCTACAACATTATGAAGGAGGATATTAAACCACACGGAGAAAATATAAAACTCTGCTTAAGTTCATTTATCAAGCATGTGGCTGTGTCAAAAATCTTGTTTTAGTAGGAATTTAATAGTGTGTTCTGTAGTCTCTATATCTACTGCTACTTACATCTTAATAATGATTATTTCTTGAAAAAAATCAGAAACACATTTACATACAAAAAGAATCGGATTTATAGATGCTGATATCTAAAATAGATGTTTCTCTTTAAGTGTAATCATCAAAATGTTCGGTAATATTTTAGTTAATATTTAATAGTTTCCTTATTTTTTTTTCCTTCTTCAAATCTTTAGCAAAAAGAGCAGCTTAAATCTTTGAAAGGCCACCTTCATGAAGAAATAGATCATCATGAAGAAGAAATAGAAAGACTGCAAGAGGAAATCAAACGACACAAGCAAAAGATTTCTAAATTGAACCAGGAAGAGAAGAAAATAGATAGTTAAACTTCAAAATGAAAATAATCCATTTTGTTACTTATAAATTTTTTGTTTGATTTGTCTGCTAATTACTAGAAAATGATCAATAAGCATTTAAAAACTTGTATGTTGTTAAAGTAATATAACAATAATTTGTAAATAAACTTTTATTTACAGCATCATTTTTCTTTGATGTATAAAATGTTATTATTGGGTATAGCCTTGAAAATCTTATTATTTCATTTTAAAGTATTTACAATTGTCTAAAATGATGTTCCATCAACACTTGCAATCAAATTTTCGTCTTGGAAAAGGTATGACATCTCTAATGTTTGGAATTCCTAACACACATTGCAAATATCTATCAAAACCAATTCCAAATCCACCATGAGGTACACTTCCATATTTTCTGAGATCTAAGTACCTTAAATATAAAGCACATGAAAAATAAACATTATGAATAAGTACATTTCTTTTGGTGTAAATATTAGTTAAAATTTAATTTGCATACTTTTGGGTTAAAATTAATAAGCTTTGATAAAAATAAGATAGCTTTAACAGCAGGTATCATAAAAGAGTAGCATTAAGATCACTTAATAACAGTTATGTTACTTAATAACAGTTGGTGATTATTGATGTAGACAAAGAGTCTGAGAATATACATAAGTGCATTATATATATTAACTTCTTTAGTAATAATTTCTTGTTAAAATTTTGCACTATGAAATTGGAAAAAAAAGTAAACTCAAAATTGTTGAGAATTGGTATTGAAATACAATCTATGCAACTTGCTTACAGTCATATATTATACTTTTTTTTAGAAAAGACCAAATAATAGTTTAAAAAGAATTTCTTTAAGAAATATCCTCCAAAAAATAAAAAGTCCTTCATGACAAATTTTAATGATACTAACGTAAAAAAACAGGTCAATAGCCTGACTTTATAGCATTTTTCAATCTCTAATATAAATTTTTGAAACATTTTGTAATGAATGTATTTATTTATTTGGAAGTGATATTTCATTCGTATATGCAATTTTTCCACTTAAAGGATAAGTAAAAAATTGAGACACATGCTTTGAAAGAATACTGCAAACACACAAATCTCTTAACTTAGCTGTAATACAATTTTTGTAAAATATTTAAATGATAGTTTTTTTTATCTACATTACATTAGAATCAAAATAAAAATCATTACTAACCATGAAAGACTAGGATTTTCTTCAAATGAAAATTTTTCTTTCAACAGATCATAATTATCTTCTCTGAGACTTCCTCCACATACTTCCCCACCAAAAGGAGCAAATAAGTCGAAACAATAAGCCTATAATAAATAGGATTGGTTATACAAATATAATTCTTTTTTAAATATTAGGGTTATACTTTGTACATTATTATACTATAAAACTCAAGTATAATTCTATTCTTAATGCTATGTTATTTAGAGTCATTATAATTTGTCTTTTAGAGATAGGTACATTTAATTAAATTGAAGCAAACTGTTTGGAAGAAATTGATAATTATTTAAAATAGTTATTGTAAAATAGTAATATTAAAATAGTGAAACATCTCTAATTGTTCAACATAAAATTTAACAGCAAATTCAGAACTTATATATATTATTTATTCACATGTGAGTATATACAAGTATAATTTAAAAAAAAGTTGTATTAAACATTAAATACCTACTTTGGAAATAAAGTGTAAAAATAATTTGATCATCTAAATAATAATTACATCTGGAGTTATTTATTTTCCTTTTTTTTAATGTATTTAAAATTTATATATCATGCTTATACCAATGAAAAACATGAATATTGAAATTTAATATAATAATCTGCATTGTAGCAAATTTTATTTCTTGACAACTTTTTGAAAACAATAGCTTTTGATATGACAGGAAAACATAGTATGTGCAATCCTATCTGAGAATTAATTTTGTTGAACGATTTTTTTTCCAATATAAAATTAAAAATTTGTTTCCTTTTAAAAAAAGATCTAGCTTGTTACTGGTTTAAAAAAATAGTCAAATGTAAAACTAGAATATTTAATCTAAATTTTTACAAACACGATCGAAACAAGTTTAATTCAAAGATTTATTTTCTTTTTTTGCAAAATTTTTTATGAAACTATATATATAAAAAAAGATTATAGCAAAAATTGCTTTAACTAAACTTGCTAATAAAGATAATGGAGAAGGTGGTTGTTAAAAACCGTCAATAACATTTGTGGAGATAGTGATAGGAATGGAAATGGACATTTGTGTTAAAAAGAGAAATTAGAGTTAATTTCTTACCAAATTTCTTTCATCAGTTTTCATATAAAATGGCTTTATTGATGATGGAAACATAGAGACGAATACAGGGGTATAATTACAATATTTTACTAAAAATTGCTTGTGGTCAGTTCCAATATCATCTCCATACTAAAATCATAAAAAAATAAATATTAGTAGTTTAAAATTGTGCTTTTCCATTGACTGTTTATGAAGTAAATTACCTATCAAAAAGCATACTTTATAATTTAATGAAATATGCTTACATGAGAACTTTTACATGGAATAATTTTTATCATGATTTTCTATTCTTTAAGGGTAATCATGAAGATGCCATGAAATAATAATTTAGCTCATATACAAGTAAAATTTTTTTTTTCACTGTTAATTTTTTCATTATATGAACTTTATTCACTATTATTACTTTTTTTTCACAATTATTTATTTCATAGGAAGAAAATAAATATTTACAATAATAATTTTAAAATAATTAGCTTCATAGTCTTTCTATTCTTGATAAAAACATTTTTATAACTGGTATAATTTTGCCAAAGAAATTTTTTTTTTTTTAACGAAATGTATTATTAATAAATATTTATTCATTTCATATTAGGCTTATGTACAATATTTTACTCAAATGCCTTGCTAATGTTTTCAATTCTAATAACAAATTAATTTAATTAAATAATAAATTCATTATTACAAAAAACAGAACAAAATATAATAAAATTTATTGCTGATTAGTTCGTGAAACCATCTTTTTTCAAAACCCAATCACCGGAATATAAAACGTTTGTTTTTAGAAGGAGTTTAAACGAAATTTCCTTAGCTTACAAAGAAATTAGTTAGATACAAACCAGCAAAAAAAACTTTTTTTAACCTTTCTCTAACCATCGTTTTCAGATTTGGTAATTTTGACCCAATCTTGAAATTGATCACATTAAAAAAAAAATATAAGTACTTTATACAGATAAAAGGAATTTGCCAACAATTAACTATGTAACAACTAAAAATAAGAGCAAATAAATAATTCTTACTTTTATAGGAACTTTAAGTCGTTTTCTATTATTTTCTAATATAATAACAGCTTCACTATAGGACANGAATACATTCTAAACAATTTCATCTTTACAGGATTCCAATAAAGATTCAGTAACGTATTTTATGCATTTCTCAGCGACCTAAAAATGAATTTGAAAAAATATTACAACAACTTATTAAATTATGATGGATATAATTATAGAATTAATACTATTGTTAAAATATCCATAGTACTAGTTTTCAATGTACACAGTTTTAAATAAATATATTAAGTTCAGCTGCATATAAATGATTCAAATTGAAACATTAATTACATAATATAAGTGGTGAAATTCTGATGATATAATTATTAATTGAGTGTTACAAAGACTGTAAAACAATACAAAAATTACTTGGAGAAAAGTTAACTTTTATTGTTTCTGATTAAAAACATCTGTCAAATATTTTTTTACCATTATTTCAAAAAATTTTTCCATCCAGTTTTTTTTTGTTATTTTCTAAAAAAACATATTTCACGACTGAAATAAGAATAAAAAGAGATGATTAAAAAATACAGAAAAATTTGTAAAATTTTTTCAACTTTTTTTTGTGTTGAAAATTAGAGTTTATTTGGAACTACGCTCTTTGCCTGGATTCTCTATTCAAATTCAAGGGCATATTTTAATTTACATGTAAATTAAGAAAACAAAATAAATAATATGATTTCTTTACTTTTGGTTCACAAAAAATGCCTTGCCTCTTCTCAAGCATAAAATAAATAAATAAATATTCAAAATACACTTGTAAAATATAATGCAAACTAAATTGGTTTATGATTTTAGCTTAGATAAAGTGGAAATCTTAAAATTAGTTTGAAGAAGGACTTAATTATTTTCTGTTAAAAATAGTTATTTTTTTATGTAATGCACTAAAGAAAAAAAAATGTTTGAAAAGTTAAAGTTTGTTTAAACTTTCCTATTTAGGATGCTTCTTTAAAGATTGAATCAAAATTTTGTATTAACACAAATCACATGACAAATTTCTTATAAAATGTTATTCAATGCTAACGTGGAGTTAGGTTTGACAATTTTCGCTGCAAGTCATTATAAATTTTACGTAACTGCTCATGTACTATTATAACTGCTCTTGAAAAAAATATACATATTATCAATATATCATCATCTCACGTAGAATATATCTTTAATCTGGAAATCTTTTTCAAAAACTTTCAACTTTTCTTTCAGTTTTTTATTTATAATAAGTATCAGAAAATTGTTTTGCTCTTTTCCACAGCAAAAATGAAGTTTGTCCCAACATAATGTAATAAAAGTAAATATGTCAGTGATATATTATAACTATAGCTATTGTAACAAGCACAAAATACTACATTTTAAAAAGAATTTCAGATTATGGGTAATATTAAGGAAAACAATAATTTATTAAATTACTTCAAAAGCTTCTATATTAGGAATACTCACCTGCAACACATCATTTATTGTTTCAACGAAAGCTATTTCAGCTTCAATCATTTGAAATTCACTTGCATGTAAACGTGTTTGAGAGCCTTCAGCTCTAAAAGTAGGCCCAAAGGTATAAACACGAGATAAAGCACTGAAAGGTAACAAAACAAAACATTATTTTTAAGTTAAAGTGTTCCAATAAAGTAGCTTTATGCGGTCATTTGTTATGAAAACAAAAGACAAGATGAAATATTGCTAAGATACTTGGATTTTTATAGACACTTGGAAGGGAGGGGAGACAGAAATATAAACAATATTTAAATGTCCTTTACTATTTTTTATTGCCGAAAAAACTTAATTCATTTAAATACTGAACACATCATTTACTTGCTAAATTAAGTACCGATTTAAACATCATGTAGTTA